CATGGGGACACAGGGGCATGAGCGAATGGATGGAAGCATGGGGACACAGGGCATGAGCGAATGGATGGAAGCATGGGACACAGGGGCATGAGCGAATGGATGGAAGCATGGGGACACAGGGGCATGAGCGAATGGATGGAAGCATGGGGACACAGGGGCATGAGCGAATGGATGGAAGCATGGGGACACAGGGGCATGAGCGAATGGATGGAAGCATGGGGACACAGGGGCAATGAGCGAATGATGGAAGCATGGGGACACAGGGGCATGAGCGAATGGATGGAAGCATGGGGACACAGGGGCATGAGCGAATGGATGGAAGCATGGGGACACAGGGGCATGAGCGAATGGATGGAAGCATGGGGACACAGGGGCATGAGCGAATGGATGGAAGCATGGGGACACAGGGGCATGAGCGAATGGATGGAAGCATGGGGACACAGGGGCATGAGCGAATGGATGGAAGCATGGGACACAGGGGCATGAGCGAATGGATGGAAGCATGGGGACACAGGGGCATGAGCGAATGGATGGAAGCATGGGGACACAGGGCATGAGCGAATGGATGGAAGCATGGGGACACAGGGGCATGAGCGAATGGATGGAAGCATGGGGACACAGGGGCATGAGCGAATGGATGGAAGCATGGGGACACAGGGGCATGAGCGAATGGATGGAAGCATGGGGACACAGGGGCATGAGCGAATGGATGGAAGCATGGGGACACAGGGGCATGAGCGAATGGATGGAAGCATGGGGACACAGGGGCATGAGCGAATGGATGGAAGCATGGGGACACAGGGGCATGAGCGAATGGATGGAAGCATGGGGACACAGGGGCATGAGCGAATGGATGGAAGCATGGGGACACAGGGCATGAGCGAATGGATGGAAGCATGGGGACACAGGGGCATGAGCGAATGGATGGAAGCATGGGGACACAGGGGCATGAGCGAATGGATGGAAGCATGGGGACACAGGGGCATGAGCGAATGGATGGAAGCATGGGGACACAGGGGCATGAGCGAATGGATGGAAGCATGGGGACACAGGGGCATGAGCGAATGGATGGAAGCATGGGGACACAGGGGCATGAGCGAATGGATGGAAGCATGGGGACACAGGGGCATGAGCGAATGGATGGAAGCATGGGGACACAGGGGCATGAGCGAATGGATGGAAGCATGGGGACACAGGGGCATGAGCGAATGGATGGAAGCATGGGGACACAGGGGCATGAGCGAATGGATGGAAGCATGGGGACACAGGGGCATGAGCGAATGGATGGAAGCATGGGACACAGGGGCATGAGCGAATGGATGGAAGCATGGGGACACAGGGGCATGAGCGAATGGATGGAAGCATGGGGACACAGGGGCATGAGCGAATGGATGGAAGCATGGGGACACAGGGGCATGAGCGAATGGATGGAAGCATGGGGACACAGGGGCATGAGGCGAATGGATGGAAGCATGGGGACACAGGGGCATGAGCGAATGGATGGAAGCATGGGGACACAGGGGCATGAGCGAATGGATGGAAGCATGGGGACACAGGGGCATGAGCGAATGGATGGAAGCATGGGGACACAGGGGCATGAGCGAATGGATGGAAGCATGGGGACACAGGGGCATGAGCGAATGGATGGAAGCATGGGGACACAGGGGCATGAGCGAATGGATGGAAGCATGGGGACACAGGGGCATGAGCGAATGGATGGAAGCATGGGACACAGGGGCATGAGCGAATGGATGGAAGCATGGGGACACAGGGGCATGAGCAAATGGAGTGGAAGCATGGGGGACACAGGGGGCATGAGCGAATGGATGGAAGCATGGGGACACGGGGCATGAGCGAATGGATGGAAGCATGGGGACACAGGGGCATGAGCGAATGGATGGAAGCATGGGACACAGGGGGCATGAGCGAAATGGATGTGAAGCATGGGGACACAGGGGCATGAGCGAATGGATGGAAGCATGGGACACAGGGGCATGACGAATGGATGGAAGCATGGGGACACGGGGCATGAGCGAATGGATGGAAGCATGGGGACACAGGGGCATGAGCGAATGGATGGAAGCATGGGGACACGGGGCATGAGCGAATGGATGGAAGCATGGGGACACAGGGGCATGAGCGAATGGATGGAAGCATGGGGACACAGGGCATGAGCGAATGGATGGAAGCATGGGGACACAGGGGCATGAGCGAATGGATGGAAGCATGGGGACACAGGGGCATGAGCGAATGGATGGAAGCATGGGGACACAGGGGCATGAGCGAATGGATGGAAGCATGGGGACACAGGGGCATGAGCGAATGGATGGAAGCATGGGACACAGGGGCATGAGCGAATGGATGGAAGCATGGGGACACAGGGGCATGAGCGAATGGATGGAAGCATGGGGACACAGGGGCATGAGCGAATGGATGGAAGCATGGGGACACAGGGGCATGAGCGAATGGATGGAAGCATGGGGGACACAGGGGCATGAGCGAATGGATGGAAGCATGGGGACACAGGGGCATGAGCGAATGGATGGAAGCATGGGGACACAGGGGCATGAGCGAATGGATGGAAGCATGGGGACACAGGGGCATGAGCGAATGGATGGAAGCATGGGGACACAGGGGCATGAGCGAATGGATGGAAGCATGGGGACACAGGGGCATGAGCGAATGGATGGAAGCATGGGGGACACAGGGGCATGAGCGAATGGATGGAAGCATGGGGACACAGGGGCATGAGCGAATGGATGGAAGCATGGGGACACAGGGGCATGAGCGAATGGATGGAAGCATGGGGACACAGGGGCATGAGCGATGGATGGAAGCATGGGGACACAGGGGCATGAGCGAATGGATGGAAGCATGGGGACACAGGGGGCATGAGCGAATGGATGGAAGCATGGGGACACAGGGGCATGAGCGAATGGATGGAAGCATGGGGGACACAGGGGCATGAGCGAATGGATGGAAGCATGGGGACACAGGGGCATGAGCGAATGGATGGAAGCATGGGGACACAGGGGCATGAGCGAATGGATGGAAGCATGGGGACACAGGGGCATGAGCGAATGGATGGAAGCATGGGGACACAGGGGCATGAGCGAATGGATGGAAGCATGGGGACACAGGGGCATGAGCGAATGGATGGAAGCATGGGGACACAGGGGCATGAGCGAATGGATGGAAGCATGGGGACACAGGGGCATGAGCGAATGGATGGAAGCATGGGGACACAGGGGCATGAGCGAATGGATGGAAGCATGGGGACACAGGGGCATGAGCGAATGGATGGAAGCATGGGGACACAGGGGCATGAGCGAATGGATGGAAGCATGGGGACACAGGGGCATGAGCGAATGGATGGAAGGCATGGGGACACAGGGGCATGAGCGAATGGATGGAAGCATGGGGACACAGGGCATGAGCGAATGGATGGAAGCATGGGGACACAGGGGCATGAGCGAATGGATGGAAGCATGGGGACACAGGGGCATGAGCGAATGGATGGAAGCATGGGACACAGGGGCATGAGCGAATGGATGGAAGCATGGGGACACAGGGGCATGAGCGAATGGATGGAAGCATGGGGACACAGGGGCATGAGCGAATGGATGGAAGCATGGGGACACAGGGGCATGAGCGAATGGATGGAAGCATGGGACACAGGGGCATGAGCGAATGGATGGAAGCATGGGGACACAGGGGCATGAGCGAATGGATGGAAGCATGGGGACACAGGGGCATGAGCGAATGGATGGAAGCATGGGGACACAGGGGCATGAGCGAATGGATGGAAGCATGGGGGACACAGGGGCATGAGCGAATGGATGGAAGCATGGGGACACAGGGGCATGAGCGAATGGATGGAAGCATGGGGACACAGGGGCATGAGCGAATGGATGGAAGCATGGGGACACAGGGGCATGAGCGAATGGATGGAAGCATGGGGACACAGGGGCATGAGCGAATGGATGGAAGCATGGGGACACAGGGGCATGAGCGAATGGATGGAAGCATGGGGACACAGGGCATGAGCGAATGGATGGAAGCATGGGGACACAGGGGCATGAGCGAATGGATGGAAGCATGGGGACACAGGGGCATGAGCGAATTGGATGGAAGCATGGGGACACAGGGGCATGAGCGAATGGATGGAAGCATGGGGACACAGGGGCATGAGCGAATGGATGGAAGCATGGGGACACAGGGGCATGAGCGAATGGATGGAAGCATGGGGACACAGGGGCATGAGCGAATGGATGGAAGCATGGGGACACAGGGGCATGAGCGAATGATGGAAGCATGGGGACAACAGGGGCATGAGCGAATGGATGGAAGCATGGGGACACAGGGGCATGAGCGAATGGATGGAAGCATGGGGACACAGGGGCATGAGCGAATGGATGGAAGCATGGGGACACAGGGGCATGAGCGAATGGATGGAAGCATGGGGACACAGGGGCATGAGCGAATGGATGGAAGCATGGGGACACAGGGGCATGAGCGAATGGATGGAAGCATGGGGACACAGGGGCATGAGCGAATGGATGGAAGCATGGGGACACAGGGGCATGAGCCGAATGGATGGAAGCATGGGGACACAGGGGCATGAGCGAATGGATGGAAGCATGGGGACACAGTGGCATGAGGCGAATGGATGTGGAGCATGGGGACAACAGGGGCATGAGCGAATGGATGGAAGCATGGGACACAGGGGCATGAGCGAATGGATGGAAGCATGGGGACACAGGGGAATGAGCGAATGGATGGAAGCATGGGGGACAAGGGGGATGGCGAATGGATGGAAGCATGGGGACACAGGGGCATGAGGCGAATGGATGGAAGCATGGGGACACAGGGGCATGAGCGAATGGATTGGAAGCATGGGGACACAGGGGCATGAGCGAATGGATGGAAGCATGGGACAATAGGGCATGAGCGAATGGATGGAAGCATGGACGACAGGGGCATGAGCGAATGGATGGAAGTCATGGGGGACACGGGGCATGAGCGAATGATGGAAGCATGGGGACACAGGGGCATGAGCGAATGGATGGAAGCATGGGACACAGGGGCATGAGCGAATGGATGGAAGCATGGGGACACAGGGGCATGAGCGAATGGATGGAAGCATGGGGACACAGGGGCATGAGCGAATGGATGGAAGCATGGGACACAGGGGCATGAGCGAATGGGATGGAAGCATGGGGACACAGGGGCATGAGCGAATGGATGGAAGCATGGGGACACAGGGGCATGAGCGAATGGATGGAAGCATGGGGACACAGGGCATGAGCGAATGGATGGAAGCATGGGGACACAGGGCATGAGCGAATGGATGGAAGCATGGGGACACAGGGCATGAGCGAATGGATGGAAGCATGGGGACACAGGGGCATGAGCGAATGGATGGAAGCATGGGGACACAGGGGCATGAGCGAATGGATGGAAGCATGGGGACACAGGGGCATGAGCGAATGGATGGAAGCATGGGGACACAGGGGCATGAGCGAATGGATGGAAGCATGGGGAGACACAGGGGCATGAGCGAATGGATGGAAGCATGGGGACACAGGGGCATGAGCGAATGGATGGAAGCATGGGGACACAGGGGCATGAGCGAATGGATGGAAGCATGGGACACAGGGGCATGAGCGAATGGATGGAAGCATGGGGACACAGGGGCATGAGCGAATGGATGGAAGCATGGGACACAGGGGCATGAGCGAATGGATGGAAGCATGGGGACACAGGGGCATGAGCGAATGGATGGAAGCATGGGGACACAGGGGCATGAGCGAATGGATGGAAGCATGGGGACACAGGGGCATGAGCGAATGGATGGAAGCATGGGGACACAGGGGCATGAGCGAATGGATGGAAGCATGGGGGACACAGGGGCATGAGCGAATGGATGGAAGCATGGGGACACAGGGGCATGAGCGAATGGATGGAAGCATGGGGACACAGGGGCATGAGCGAAATGGATGGAAGCATGGGGACACAGGGGCATGAGCGAATGGATGGAAGCATGGGGACACAGGGGCATGAGCGAATGGATGGAAGCATGGGGACACAGGGGCATGAGCGAATGGATGGAAGCATGGGGACACAGGGCATGAGCGAATGGATGGAAGCATGGGACACAGGGGCATGAGCGAATGGATGGAAGCATGGGGACACAGGGGCATGAGCGAATGGATGGAAGCATGGGGACACAGGGGCATGAGCGAATGGATGGAAGCATGGGGACACAGGGGCATGAGCGAATGGATGGAAGCATGGGGACACAGGGGCATGAGCGAATGGATGGAAGCATGGGGACACAGGGGCATGAGCGAATGGATGGAAGCATGGGGACACAGGGGCATGAGCGAATGGATGGAAGCATGGGGACACAGGGGCATGAGCGAATGGATGGAAGCATGGGGACACAGGGGCATGAGCGAATGGATGGAAGCATGGGGACACAGGGGCATGAGCGAATGGATGGAAGCATGGGGACACAGGGGCATGAGCGAATGGATGGAAGCATGGGGACACAGGGGCATGAGCGAATGGATGGAAGCATGGGGACACAGGGGCATGAGCGAATGGATGGAAGCATGGGGACACAGGGGCATGAGCGAATGGATGGAAGCATGGGACACAGGGGCATGAGCGAATGGATGGAAGCATGGGGACACAGGGGCATGAGCGAATGGATTGGACAGCATGAGCGATGGATGGACACAGGGGCATGAGCGAATGGATGGAAGCATGGGACACAGGGGCATGAGCGAATGGATGGAAGCATGGGGACACAGGGGCATGAGCGAATGGATGGAAGCATGGGGACACAGGGGCATGAGCGAATGGATGGAAGCATGGGGACACAGGGGCATGAGCGAATGGATGGAAGCATGGGGGACACAGGGGCATGAGCGAATGGATGGAAGCATGGGGACACAGGGGCATGAGCGAATGGATGGAAGCATGGGGACACAGGGGCATGAGCGAATGGATGGAAGCATGGGGACACAGGGGCATGAGCGAATGGATGGAAGCATGGGGACACAGGGGCATGAGCGAATGGATGGAAGCATGGGGACACAGGGGCATGAGCGAATGGATGGAAGCATGGGGACACAGGGGCATGAGCGAATGGATGGAAGCATGGGGACACAGGGGCATGAGCGAATGGATGGAAGCATGGGGACACAGGGGCATGAGCGAATGGATGGAAGCATGGGGACACAGGGGCATGAGCGAATGGATGGAAGCATGGGACACAGGGGCATGAGCGAATGGATGGAAGCATGGGGACACAGGGGCATGAGCGAATGGATGGAAGCATGGGGACACAGGGGCATGAGCGAATGGATGGAAGCATGGGGACACAGGGGCATGAGCGAATGGATGGAAGCATGGGGACACAGGGGCATGAGCGAATGGATGGAAGCATGGGGACACAGGGCATGAGCGAATGGATGGAAGCATGGGGACACAGGGGCATGAGCGAATGGATGGAAGCATGGGGACACAGGGGCATGAGCGAATGGATGGAAGCATGGGGGACACAGGGGCATGAGCGAATGGATGGAAGCATGGGGACACAGGGGCATGAGCGAATGGATGGAAGCATGGGACACAGGGGCATGAGCGAATGGATGGAAGCATGGGGACACAGGGGCATGAGCGAATGGATGGAAGCATGGGGACACAGGGGCATGAGCGAATGGATGGAAGCATGGGGACACAGGGGCATGAGCGAATGGATGGAAGCATGGGGACACAGGGGCATGAGCGAATGGATGGAAGCATGGGGACACAGGGGCATGAGCGAATGGATGGAAGCATGGGGACACAGGGGCATGAGCGAATGGATGGAAGCATGGGGACACAGGGGCATGAGCGAATGGATGGAAGCATGGGGACACAGGGGCATGAGCGAATGGATGGAAGCATGGGGACACAGGGGCATGAGCGAATGGATGGAAGCATGGGGACACAGGGGCATGAGCGAATGGATGGAAGCATGGGGACACAGGGGCATGAGCGAATGGATGGAAGCATGGGGACACAGGGGCATGAGCGAATGGATGGAAGCATGGGGACACAGGGGCATGAGCGAATGGATGGAAGCATGGGGACACAGGGGCATGAGCGAATGGATGGAAGCATGGGGACACAGGGGCATGAGCGAATGGATGGAAGCATGGGGACACAGGGGCATGAGCGAATGGATGGAAGCATGGGGACACAGGGGCATGAGCGAATGGATGGAAGCATGGGGACACAGGGGCATGAGCGAATGGATGGAAGCATGGGGGACACAGGGGCATGAGCGAATGGATGGAAGCATGGGGACACAGGGGCATGAGCGAATGGATGGAAGCATGGGGACACAGGGGCATGAGCGAATGGATGGAAGCATGGGGACACAGGGGCATGAGCGAATGGATGGAAGCATGGGGACACAGGGGCATGAGCGAATGGATGGAAGCATGGGGACACAGGGGCATGAGCGAATGGATGGAAGCATGGGGACACAGGGGCATGAGCGAATGGATGGAAGCATGGGGACACAGGGGCATGAAGCGAATGGATGGAAGCATGGGGACACAGGGGCATGAGCGAGATGCGAATGGATGGAAGCATGGGGACACAGGGGCATGAGCGAATGGATGGAAGCATGGGGACACAGGGGCATGAGCGAATGGATGGAAGCATGGGGACACAGGGGCATGAGCGAATGGATGGAAGCATGGGGACACAGGGGCATGAGCGAATGGATGGAAGCATGGGGACACAGGGGCATGAGCGAATGGATGGAAGCATGGGGACACAGGGGCATGAGCGAATGGATGGAAGCATGGGGACACAGGGGCATGAGCGAATGGATGGAAGCATGGGGACACAGGGGCATGAGCGAATGGATGGAAGCATGGGGACACAGGGGCATGAGCGAATGGATGGAAGCATGGGGACACAGGGGCATGAGCGAATGGATGGAAGCATGGGGACACAGGGGCATGAGCGAATGGATGGAAGCATGGGGACACAGGGGCATGAGCGAATGGATGGAAGCATGGGGACACAGGGGCATGAGCGAATGGATGGAAGCATGGGGACACAGGGGCATGAGCGAATGGATGGAAGCATGGGGACACAGGGGCATGAGCGAATGGATGGAAGCATGGGGACACAGGGGCATGAGCGAATGGATGGAAGCATGGGGACACAGGGGCATGAGCGAATGGATGGAAGCATGGGGACACAGGGGCATGAGCGAATGGATGGAAGCATGGGGACCAGGGCATGAGCGAATGGATGGACATTGGGACACAGGGGCATGAGCGAATGGATGGAAGCATGGGGACACAGGGGCATGAGCGAATGGATGGAAGCATGGGGACACAGGGGCATGAGCGAATGGATGGAAGCATGGGGACACAGGGGCATGAGCGAATGGATGGAAGCATGGGGACACAGGGGCATGAGCGAATGGATGGAAGCATGGGGACACAGGGGCATGAGCGAATGGATGGAAGCATGGGGACACAGGGGCATGAGCGAATGGATGGAAAGCATGGGGACACAGGGGCATGAGCGAATGGATGGAAGCATGGGGACACAGGGGCATGAGCGAATGGATGGAAGCATGGGGACACAGGGGCATGAGCGAATGGATGGAAGCATGGGACACAGGGGCATGAGCGAATGGATGGAAGCATGGGGACACAGGGGCATGAGCGAATGGATGGAAGCATGGGGACACAGGGGCATGAGCGAATGGATGGAAGCATGGGGACACAGGGGCATGAGCGAATGGATGGAAGCATGGGGACACAGGGGCATGAGCGAATGGATGGAAGCATGGGGACACAGGGGCATGAGCGAATGGATGGAAGCATGGGGGACACAGGGGCATGAGCGAATGGATGGAAGCATGGGGACACAGGGGCATGAGCGAATGGATGGAAGCATGGGGACACAGGGGCATGAGCGAATGGATGGAAGCATGGGGACACAGGGGCATGAGCGAATGGATGGAAGCATGGGGACACAGGGGCATGAGCGAATGGATGGAAGCATGGGGACACAGGGGCATGAGCGAATGGATGGAAGCATGGGGACACAGGGGCATGAGCGAATGGATGGAAGCATGGGGACACAGGGGCATGAGCGAATGGATGGAAGCATGGGGACACAGGGGCATGAGCGAATGGATGGAAGCATGGGGACACAGGGGCATGAGCGAATGGATGGAAGCATGGGGACACAGGGGCATGAGCGAATGGATGGAAGCATGGGGACACAGGGGCATGAGCGAATGGATGGAAGCATGGGGACACAGGGGCATGAGCGAATGGATGGAAGCATGGGGACACAGGGGCATGAGCGAATGGATGGAAGCATGGGGACACAGGGGCATGAGCGAATGGATGGAAGCATGGGGACACAGGGGCATGGAAGCGAATGGATGGAAGCATGGGGACACAGGGGCATGAGCGAATGGATGGAAGCATGGGGACACAGGGGCATGAGCGAATGGATGGAAGCATGGGGACACAGGGGCATGAGCGAATGGATGGAAGCATGGGGACACAGGGGCATGAGCGAATGGATGGAAGCATGGGGACACAGGGGCATGAGCGAATGGATGGAAGCATGGGGACACAGGGGCATGAGCGAATGGATGGAAGCATGGGGACACAGGGGCATGAGCGAATGGATGGAAGCATGGGGACACAGGGGCATGAGCGAATGGATGGAAGCATGGGGACACAGGGGCATGAGCGAATGGATGGAAGCATGGGGACACAGGGGCATGAGCGAATGGATGGAAGCATGGGGACACAGGGGCATGAGCGAATGGATGGAAGCATGGGGACACAGGGGCATGAGCGAATGGATGGAAGCATGGGGACACAGGGGCATGAGCGAATGGATGGAAGCATGGGGACACAGGGGCATGAGCGAATGGATGGAAGCATGGGGACACAGGGGCATGAGCGAATGGATGGAAGCATGGGGACACAGGGGCATGAGCGAATGGATGGAAGCATGGGGACACAGGGGCATGAGCGAATGGATGGAAGCATGGGGACACAGGGGCATGAGCGAATGGATGGAAGCATGGGGACACAGGGGCATGAGCGAATGGATGGAAAGCATGGGGACACAGGGGGCATGAGCGAATGGATGGAAGCATGGGGACACAGGGGCATGAGCGAATGGATGGAAGCATGGGGACACAGGGGCATGAGCGAATGGATGGAAGCATGGGGACACAGGGGCATGAGCGAATGGATGGAAGCATGGGGACACAGGGGCATGAGCGAATGGATGAAGCATGGGGACACAGGGGCATGAGCGAATGGATGGAAGCATGGGGACACAGGGGCATGAGCGAATGGATGGAAGCATGGGGACACAGGGGCATGAGCGAATGGATGGAAGCATGGGGACACAGGGGCATGAGCGAATGGATGGAAGCATGGGGACACAGGGGCATGAGCGAATGGATGGAAGCATGGGGACACAGGGGCATGAGCGAATGGATGGAAGCATGGGGACACAGGGGCATGAGCGAATGGATGGAAGCATGGGGACACAGGGGCATGAGCGAATGGATGGAAGCATGGGGACACAGGGCATGAGCGAATGGATGGAAGCATGGGGACACAGGGGCATGAGCGAATGGATGGAAGCATGGGGACACAGGGGCATGAGCGAATGGATGGAAGCATGGGGACACAGGGGCATGAGCGAATGGATGGAAGCATGGGGACACAGGGGCATGAGCGAATGGATGGAAGCATGGGGACACAGGGGCATGAGCGAATGGATGGAAGCATGGGGACACAGGGGCATGAGCGAATGGATGGAAGCATGGGGACACAGGGGCATGAGCGAATGGATGGAAGCATGGGGACACAGGGGCATGAGCGAATGGATGGAAGCATGGGACACAGGGGCATGAGCGAATGGATGGAAGCATGGGACACAGGGGCATGAGCGAATGGATGGAAGCATGGGGACACAGGGGCATGAGCGAATGGATGGAAGCATGGGGACACAGGGGCATGAGCGAATGGATGGAAGCATGGGGACACAGGGGCATGAGCGAATGGATGGAAGCATGGGGACACAGGGGCATGAGCGAATGGATGGAAGCATGGGGACACAGGGGCATGAGCGAATGGATGGAAGCATGGGGACACAGGGGCATGAGCGAATGGATGGAAGCATGGGGACACAGGGGCATGAGCGAATGGATGGAAGCATGGGGACACAGGGGCATGAGCGAATGGATGGAAGCATGGGGACACAGGGGCATGAGCGAATGGATGGAAGCATGGGGACACAGGGGCATGAGCGAATGGATGGAAGCATGGGGACACAGGGGCATGAGCGAATGGATGGAAGCATGGGGACACAGGGGCATGAGCGAATGGATGGAAGCATGGGGACACAGGGGCATGAGCGAATGGATGGAAGCATGGGGACACAGGGGCATGAGCGAATGGATGGAAGCATGGGGACACAGGGCATGAGCGAATGGATGGAAGCATGGGGACACAGGGGCATGAGCGAATGGATGGAAGCATGGGGACACAGGGGCATGAGCGAATGGATGGAAGCATGGGGACACAGGGGCATGAGCGAATGGATGGAAGCATGGGGACACAGGGGCATGAGCGAATGGATGGAAGCATGGGGACACAGGGGCATGAGCGAATGGATGGAAGCATGGGGACACAGGGGCATGAGCGAATGGATGGAAGCATGGGGACACAGGGGCATGAGCGAATGGATGGAAGCATGGGGACACAGGGGCATGAGCGAATGGATGGAAGCATGGGGACACAGGGGCATGAGCGAATGGATGGAAGCATGGGGACACAGGGGCATGAGCGAATGGATGGAAGCATGGGGACACAGGGGCATGAGCGAATGGATGGAAGCATGGGGACACAGGGGCATGAGCGAATGGATGGAAGCATGGGGACACAGGGGCATGAGCGAATGGATGGAAGCATGGGGACACAGGGGCATGAGCGAATGGATGGAAGCATGGGGACACAGGGGCATGAGCGAATGGATGGAAGCATGGGGACACAGGGGCATGAGCGAATGGATGGAAGCATGGGGACACAGGGGCATGAGCGAATGGATGGAAGCATGGGGACACAGGGGCATGAGCGAATGGATGGAAGCATGGGGACACAGGGGCATGAGCGAATGGATGGAAGCATGGGGACACAGGGGCATGAGCGAATGGATGGAAGCATGGGGGACACAGGGGCATGAGCGAATGGATGGAAGCATGGGGACACAGGGGCATGAGCGAATGGATGGAAGCATGGGGACACAGGGGCATGAGCGAATGGATGGAAGCATGGGGACACAGGGGCATGAGCGAATGGATGGAAGCATGGGGACACAGGGGCATGAGCGAATGGATGGAAGCATGGGGACACAGGGGCATGAGCGAATGGATGGAAGCATGGGGACACAGGGGCATGAGCGAATGGATGGAAGCATGGGGACACAGGGGCATGAGCGAATGGATGGAAGCATGGGGACACAGGGGCATGAGCGAATGGATGGAAGCATGGGGACACAGGGGCATGAGCGAATGGATGGAAGCATGGGGACACAGGGGCATGAGCGAATGGATGGAAGCATGGGGACACAGGGGCATGAGCGAATGGATGGAAGCATGGGGACACAGGGGCATGAGCGAATGGATGGAAGCATGGGGACACAGGGGCATGAGCGAATGGATGGAAGCATGGGGACACAGGGGCATGAGCGAATGGATGGAAGCATGGGGACACAGGGGCATGAGCGAATGGATGGAAGCATGGGGACACAGGGGCATGAGCGAATGGATGGAAGCATGGGGACACAGGGGCATGAGCGAATGGATGGAAGCATGGGGACCACAGGGGCATGAGCGAATGGATGGAAGCATGGGGACACAGGGGCATGAGCGAATGGATGGAAGCATGGGGACACAGGGGCATGAGCGAATGGATGGAAGCATGGGGACACAGGGGCATGAGCGAATGGATGGAAGCATGGGACACAGGGGCATGAGCGAATGGATGGAAGCATGGGGGACACAGGGGCATGAGCGAATGGATGGAAGCATGGGGACACAGGGGCATGAGCGAATGGATGGAAGCATGGGGACACAGGGGCATGAGCGAATGGATGGAAGCATGGGGACACAGGGGCATGAGCGAATGGATGGAAGCATGGGGACACAGGGGCATGAGCGAATGGATGGAAGCATGGGGACACAGGGGCATGAGCGAATGGATGGAAGCATGGGGACACAGGGGCATGAGCGAATGGATGGAAGCATGGGGACACAGGGGCATGAGCGAATGGATGGAAGCATGGGGACACAGGGGATGAGCGAATGGATGGAAGCATGGGGACACAGGGGCATGAGCGAATGGATGGAAGCATGGGGACACAGGGGCATGAGCGAATGGATGGAAGCATGGGGACACAGGGGCATGAGCGAATGGATGGAAGCATGGGGACACAGGGGCATGAAGCGAATGGATGGAAGCATGGGGACACAGGGGCATGAGCGAATGGATGAAGCATGGGGACACAGGGGCATGAGCGAATGGATGGAAGCATGGGGACACAGGGGCATGAGCGAATGGATGGAAGCATGGGACACAGGGGCATGAGCGAATGGATGGAAGCATGGGGACACAGGGGCATGAGCGAATGGATGGAAGCATGGGGACACAGGGGCATGAGCGAATGGATGGAAGCATGGGGACACAGGGGCATGAGCGAATGGATGGAAGCATGGGGACACAGGGGCATGAGCGAATGGATGGAAGCATGGGGACACAGGGCATGAGCGAATGGATGGAAGCATGGGGACACAGGGGCATGAGCGAATGGATGGAAGCATGGGGACACAGGGGCATGAGCGAATGGATGGAAGCATGGGGACACAGGGGCATGAGCGAATGGATGGAAGCATGGGGACACAGGGGCATGAGCGAATGGATGGAAGCATGGGGACACAGGGGCATGAGCGAATGGATGGAAGCATGGGGACACAGGGGCATGAGCGAATGGATGGAAGCATGGGGACACAGGGGCATGAGCGAATGGATGGAAGCATGGGGACACAGGGGCATGAGCGAATGGATGGAAGCATGGGGACACAGGGGCATGAGCGAATGGATGGAAGCATGGGGACACAGGGGCATGAGCGAATGGATGGAAGCATGGGGACACAGGGGCATGAGCGAATGGATGGAAGCATGGGGACACAGGGGCATGAGCGAATGGATGGAAGCATGGGGACACAGGGGCATGAGCGAATGGATGGAAGCATGGGGACACAGGGGCATGAGCGAATGGATGGAAGCATGGGGACACAGGGGCATGAGCGAATGGATGGAAGCATGGGGACACAGGGGCATGAGCGAATGGATGGAAGCATGGGGACACAGGGGCATGAGCGAATGGATGGAAGCATGGGGACACAGGGGCATGAGCGAATGGATGGAAGCATGGGGACACAGGGGCATGAGCGAATGGATGGAAGCATGGGGACACAGGGGCATGAGCGAATGGATGGAAGCATGGGGACACAGGGGCATGAGCGAATGGATGGAAGCATGGGGACACAGGGGCATGAGCGAATGGATGGAAGCATGGGGACACAGGGGCATGAGCGAATGGATGGAAGCATGGGGACACAGGGGCATGAATGGGCGGAATGGATGGAAGCATGGGGACACAGGGGCATGAGCGAATGGATGGAAAGCATGGGGACACAGGGGCATGAGCGAATGGATGGAAGCATGGGGACACAGGGGCATGAGCGAATGGATGGAAGCATGGGGACACAGGGGCATGAGCGAATGGATGGAAGCATGGGGACACAGGGGCATGAGCGAATGGATGGAAGCATGGGGACACAGGGGCATGAGCGAATGGATGGAAGCATGGGGACACAGGGGCATGAGCGAATGGATGGAAGCATGGGGGACACAGGGGCATGAGCGAATGGATGGAAGCATGGGGACACAGGGGCATGAGCGAATGTGGAAGCATGGGGACACAGGGGCATGAGCGAATGGATGGAAGCATGGGACACAGGGGCATGAGCGAATGGATGGAAGCCATGGGGACACAGGGGCATGAGCGAATGGATGGAAGCATGGGGACACAGGGGCATGAGCGAATGGATGGAAGCATGGGGACACAGGGGCATGAGCGAATGGATGGAAGCATGGGGACACAGGGGCATGAGCGAATGGATGGAAGCATGGGGACACAGGGGCATGAGCGAATGGATGGAAGCATGGGGACACAGGGGCATGAGCGAATGGATGGAAGCATGGGGACACAGGGGCATGAGCGAATGGATGGAAGCATGGGGACACAGGGGCATGAGCGAATGGATGGAAGCATGGGGACACAGGGGCATGAGCGAATGGATGGAAGCATGGGGACACAGGGGCATGAGCGAATGGATGGAAGCATGGGGACACAGGGGCATGAGCGAATGGATGGAAGCATGGGGACACAGGGGCATGAGCGAATGGATGGAAGCATGGGGACACAGGGGCATGAGCGAATGGATGGAAGCATGGGGACACAGGGGCATGAGCGAATGGATGGAAGCATGGGGACACAGGGGCATGAGCGAATGGATGGAAGCATGGGGACACAGGGGCATGAGCGAATGGATGGAAGCATGGGGACACAGGGGCATGAGCGAATGGATGGAAGCATGGGGACACAGGGGCATGAGCGAATGGATGGAAGCATGGGGACACAGGGGCATGAGCGAATGGATGGAAGATGGGGACACAGGGGCATGAGCGAATGGATGGACACAGGGGCATGAGCGAATGGATGGAAGCATGGGGACACAGGGGCATGAGCGAATGGATGGAAGCATGGGGACACAGGGGCATGAGCGAATGGATGGAAGCATGGGGACACAGGGGCATGAGCGAATGGATGGAAGCATGGGGACACAGGGGCATGAGCGAATGGATGGAAGCATGGGGACACAGGGGCATGAGCGAATGGATGGAAGCATGGGGACACAGGGGCATGAGCGAATGGATGGAAGCATGGGGACACAGGGGCATGAGCGAATGGATGGAAGCATGGGGACACAGGGGCATGAGCGAATGGATGGAAGCATGGGGACACAGGGGCATGAGCGAATGGATGGAAGCATGGGGACACAGGGGCATGAGCGAATGGATGGAAGCATGGGGACACAGGGGCATGAGCGAATGGATGGAAGCATGGGGACACAGGGGCATGAGCGAATGGATGGAAGCATGGGGACACAGGGGCATGAGCGAATGGATGGAAGCATGGGGACACAGGGGCATGAGCGAATGGATGAAGCGAAGGCATGGAGCTGGGACACAGGGGCATGAGCGAATGGATGGAAGCATGGGGACACAGGGGCATGAGCGAATGGATGGAAGCATGGGGACACAGGGGCATGAGCGAATGGATGGAAGCATGGGGACACAGGGGCATGAGCGAATGGATGGAAGCATGGGGACACAGGGGCATGAGCGAATGGATGGAAGCATGGGGACACAGGGGCATGAGCGAATGGATGGAAGCATGGGACACAGGGGCATGAGCGAATGGATGGAAGCATGGGGACACAGGGGCATGAGCGAATGGATGGAAGCATGGGGACACAGGGGCATGAGCGAATGGATGGAAGCATGGGGACACAGGGGCATGAGCGAATGGATGGAAGCATGGGGACACAGGGGCATGAGCGAATGGATGGAAGCATGGGGACACAGGGGCATGAGCGAATGGATGGAAGCATGGGGACACAGGGGCATGAGCGAATGGATGGAAGCATGGGGACACAGGGGCATGAGCGAATGGATGGAAGCATGGGGACACAGGGGCATGAGCGAATGGATGGAAGCATGGGGACACAGGGGCATGAGCGAATGGATGGAAGCATGGGGACACAGGGGCATGAGCGAATGGATGGAAGCATGGGGACACAGGGGCATGAGCGAATGGATGGAAGCATGGGGACACAGGGGCATGAGCGAATGGATGAAGCATGGGGACACAGGGGCATGAGCGAATGGATGGAAGCATGGGGACACAGGGGCATGAGCGAATGGATGGAAGCATGGGGACACAGGGGCATGAGCGAATGGATGGAAGCATGGGGACACAGGGGCATGAGCGAATGGATGGAAGCATGGGGACACAGGGGCATGAGCGAATGGATGGAAGCATGGGGACACAGGGGCATGAGCGAATGGATGGAAGCATGGGGACACAGGGGCATGAGCGAATGGATGGAAGCATGGGGACACAGGGGCATGAGCGAATGGATGGAAGCATGGGGACACAGGGGCATGAGCGAATGGATGGAAGCATGGGACACAGGGGCATGAGCGAATGGATGGAAGCATGGGGACACAGGGGCATGAGCGAATGGATGGAAGCATGGGGACACAGGGGCATGAGCGAATGGATGGAAGCATGGGGACACAGGGGCATGAGCGAATGGATGGAAGCATGGGGACACAGGGGCATGAGCGAATGGATGGAAGCATGGGGACACAGGGGCATGAGCGAATGGATGGAAGCATGGGGACACAGGGGCATGAGCGAATGGATGGAAGCATGGGGACACAGGGGCATGAGCGAATGGATGGAAGCATGGGGACACAGGGGCATGAGCGAATGGATGGAAGCATGGGGACACAGGGGCATGAGCGAATGGATGGAAGCATGGGGACACAGGGGCATGAGCGAATGGATGGAAGCATGGGGACACAGGGGCATGAGCGAATGGATGGAAGCATGGGGACACAGGGGCATGAGCGAATGGATGGAAGCATGGGGACACAGGGGCATGAGCGAATGGATGGAAGCATGGGGACACAGGGGCATGAGCGAATGGATGGAAGCATGGGGACACAGGGGCATGAGCGAATGGATGGAAGCATGGGGACACAGGGGCATGAGCGAATGGATGGAAGCATGGGGACACAGGGGCATGAGCGAATGGATGGAAGCATGGGGACACAGGGGCATGAGCGAATGGATGGAAGCATGGGGACACAGGGGCATGAGCGAATGGATGGAAGCATGGGGACACAGGGGCATGAGCGAATGGATGGACAGGGGCATGCGAGGATGACATGGGGACAGGGGCATGAGCGAATGGATGGAAGCATGGGGACACAGGGGCATGAGCGAATGGATGGAAGCATGGGGACACAGGGGCATGAGCGAATGGATGGAAGCATGGGGACACAGGGGCATGAGCGAATGGATGGAAGCATGGGGACACAGGGGCATGAGCGAATGGATGGAAGCATGGGGACACAGGGGCATGAGCGAATGGATGGAAGCATGGGGACACAGGGGCATGAGCGAATGGATGGAAGCATGGGGACACAGGGGCATGAGCGAATGGATGGAAGCATGGGGACACAGGGGCATGAGCGAATGGATGGAAGCATGGGGACACAGGGGCATGAGCGAATGGATGGAAGCATGGGGACACAGGGGCATGAGCGAATGGATGGAAGCATGGGGACACAGGGGCATGAGCGAATGGATGGAAGCATGGGGACACAGGGGCATGAGCGAATGGATGGAAGCATGGGGACACAGGGGCATGAGCGAATGGATGGAAGCATGGGGACACAGGGGCATGAGCGAATGGATGGAAGCATGGGGACACAGGGGCATGAGCGAATGGATGGAAGCATGGGGACACAGGGCATGAGCGAATGGATGGAAGCATGGGGACACAGGGGCATGAGCGAATGGATGGAAGCATGGGGACACAGGGGCATGAGCGAATGGATGGAAGCATGGGGACACAGGGGCATGAGCGAATGGATGGAAGCATGGGGACACAGGGGCATGAGCGAATGGATGGAAGCATGGGGACACAGGGGCATGAGCGAATGGATGGAAGCATGGGGACACAGGGGCATGAGCGAATGGATGGAAGCATGGGGACACAGGGGCATGAGCGAATGGATGGAAGCATGGGGACACAGGGGCATGAGCGAATGGATGGAAGCATGGGGACACAGGGGCATGAGCGAATGGATGGAAGCATGGGGACACAGGGGCATGAGCGAATGGATGGAAGCATGGGGACACAGGGGCATGAGCGAATGGATGGAAGCATGGGGACACAGGGGCATGAGCGAATGGATGGAAGCATGGGGACACAGGGGCATGAGCGAATGGATGGAAGCATGGGGACACAGGGGCATGAGCGAATGGATGGAAGCATGGGGACACAGGGGCATGAGCGAATGGATGGAAGCATGGGGACACAGGGGCATGAGCGAATGGATGGAAGCATGGGGACACAGGGGCATGAGCGAATGGATGGAAGCATGGGGACACAGGGGCATGAGCGAATGGATGGAAGCATGGGGACACAGGGGCATGAGCGAATGGATGGAAGCATGGGGACACAGGGGCATGAGCGAATGGATGGAAGCATGGGGACACAGGGGCATGAGCGAATGGATGGAAGCATGGGGACACAGGGGCATGAGCGAATGGATGGAAGCATGGGGACACAGGGGCATGAGCGAATGGATGGAAGCATGGGGACACAGGGGCATGAGCGAATGGATGGAAGCATGGGGACACAGGGGCATGAGCGAATGGATGGAAGCATGGGGACACAGGGGCATGAGCGAATGGATGGAAGCATGGGGACACAGGGGCATGAGCGAATGGATGGAAGCATGGGGACACAGGGGCATGAGCGAATGGATGGAAGCATGGGGACACAGGGGCATGAGCGAATGGATGGAAGCATGGGGACACAGGGGCATGAGCGAATGGATGGAAGCATGGGGACACAGGGGCATGAGCGAATGGATGGAAGCATGGGGACACAGGGGCATGAGCGAATGGATGGAAGCATGGGGACACAGGGGCATGAGCGAATGGATGGAAGCATGGGGACACAGGGGCATGAGCGAATGGATGGAAGCATGGGGACACAGGGGCATGAGCGAATGGATGGAAGCATGGGGACACAGGGGCATGAGCGAATGGATGGAAGCATGGGGACACAGGGGCATGAGCGAATGGATGGAAGCATGGGGACACAGGGGCATGAGCGAATGGATGGAAGCATGGGGACACAGGGGCATGAGCGAATGGATGGAAGCATGGGGACACAGGGGCATGAGCGAATGGATGGAAGCATGGGGACACAGGGGCATGAGCGAATGGATGGAAGCATGGGGACACAGGGGCATGAGCGAATGGATGGAAGCATGGGGACACAGGGGCATGAGCGAATGGATGGAAGCATGGGGACACAGGGGCATGAGCGAATGGATGGAAGCATGGGGACACAGGGGCATGAGCGAATGGATGGAAGCATGGGGACACAGGGGCATGAGCGAATGGATGGAAGCATGGGGACACAGGGGCATGAGCGAATGGATGGAAGCATGGGGACACAGGGGCATGAGCGAATGGATGGAAGCATGGGGACACAGGGGCATGAGCGAATGGATGGAAGCATGGGGACACAGGGGCATGAGCGAATGGATGGAAGCATGGGGACACAGGGGCATGAGCGAATGGATGGAAGCATGGGGACACAGGGGCATGAGCGAATGGATGGAAGCATGGGGACACAGGGGCATGAGCGAATGGATGGAAGCATGGGGACACAGGGGCATGAGCGAATGGATGGAAGCATGGGGACACAGGGGCATGAGCGAATGGATGGAAGCATGGGGACACAGGGGCATGAGCGAATGGATGGAAGCATGGGGACACAGGGGCATGAGCGAATGGATGGAAGCATGGGGACACAGGGGCATGAGCGAATGGATGGAAGCATGGGGACACAGGGGCATGAGCGAATGGATGGAAGCATGGGGACACAGGGGCATGAGCGAATGGATGGAAGCATGGGGACACAGGGGCATGAGCGAATGGATGGAAGCATGGGGACACAGGGGCATGAGCGAATGGATGGAAGCATGGGGACACAGGGGCATGAGCGAATGGATGGAAGCATGGGGACACAGGGGCATGAGCGAATGGATGGAAGCATGGGGACACAGGGGCATGAGCGAATGGATGGAAGCATGGGGACACAGGGGCATGAGCGAATGGATGGAAGCATGGGGACACAGGGGCATGAGCGAATGGATGGAAGCATGGGGACACAGGGGCATGAGCGAATGGATGGAAGCATGGGGACACAGGGGCATGAGCGAATGGATGGAAGCATGGGGACACAGGGGCATGAGCGAATGGATGGAAGCATGGGGACACAGGGGCATGAGCGAATGGATGGAAGCATGGGGACACAGGGGCATGAGCGAATGGATGGAAGCATGGGGACACAGGGGCATGAGCGAATGGATGGAAGCATGGGGACACAGGGGCATGAGCGAATGGATGGAAGCATGGGGACACAGGGGCATGAGCGAATGGATGGAAGCATGGGGACACAGGGGCATGAGCGAATGGATGGAAGCATGGGGACACAGGGGCATGAGCGAATGGATGGAAGCATGGGGACACAGGGGCATGAGCGAATGGATGGAAGCATGGGGACACAGGGGCATGAGCGAATGGATGGAAGCATGGGGACACAGGGGCATGAGCGAATGGATGGAAGCATGGGGACACAGGGGCATGAGCGAATGGATGGAAGCATGGGGACACAGGGGCATGAGCGAATGGATGGAAGCATGGGGACACAGGGGCATGAGCGAATGGATGGAAGCATGGGGACACAGGGGCATGAGCGAATGGATGGAAGCATGGGGACACAGGGGCATGAGCGAATGGATGGAAGCATGGGGACACAGGGGCATGAGCGAATGGATGGAAGCATGGGGACACAGGGGCATGAGCGAATGGATGGAAGCATGGGGACACAGGGGCATGAGCGAATGGATGGAAGCATGGGGACACAGGGGCATGAGCGAATGGATGGAAGCATGGGGACACAGGGGCATGAGCGAATGGATGGAAGCATGGGGACACAGGGGCATGAGCGAATGGATGGAAGCATGGGGACACAGGGGCATGAGCGAATGGATGGAAGCCATGGGGACACAGGGGCATGAGCGAATGGATGGAAGCATGGGGACACAGGGGCATGAGCGAATGGATGGAAGCATGGGGACACAGGGGCATGAGCGAATGGATGGAAGCATGGGGACACAGGGGCATGAGCGAATGGATGGAAGCATGGGGACACAGGGGCATGAGCGAATGGATGGAAGCATGGGGACACAGGGGCATGAGCGAATGGATGGAAGCATGGGGACACAGGGGCATGAGCGAATGGATGGAAGCATGGGGACACAGGGGCATGAGCGAATGGATGGAAGCATGGGGACACAGGGGCATGAGCGAATGGATGGAAGCATGGGGACACAGGGGCATGAGCGAATGGATGGAAGCATGGGGACACAGGGGCATGAGCGAATGGATGGAAGCATGGGGACACAGGGGCATGAGCGAATGGATGGAAGCATGGGGACACAGGGGCATGAGCGAATGGATGGAAGCATGGGGACACAGGGGCATGAGCGAATGGATGGAAGCATGGGGACACAGGGGCATGAGCGAATGGATGGAAGCATGGGGACACAGGGGCATGAGCGAATGGATGGAAGCATGGGGACACAGGGGCATGAGCGAATGGATGGAAGCATGGGGACACAGGGGCATGAGCGAATGGATGGAAGCATGGGGACACAGGGGCATGAGCGAATGGATGGAAGCATGGGGACACAGGGGCATGAGCGAATGGATGGAAGCATGGGGACACAGGGGCATGAGCGAATGGATGGAAGCATGGGGACACAGGGGCATGAGCGAATGGATGGAAGCATGGGGACACAGGGGCATGAGCGAATGGATGGAAGCATGGGGACACAGGGGCATGAGCGAATGGATGGAAGCATGGGGACACAGGGGCATGAGCGAATGGATGGAAGCATGGGGACACAGGGGCATGAGCGAATGGATGGAAGCATGGGGACACAGGGGCATGAGCGAATGGATGGAAGCATGGGGACACAGGGGCATGAGCGAATGGATGGAAGCATGGGGACACAGGGGCATGAGCGAATGGATGGAAGCATGGGGACACAGGGGCATGAGCGAATGGATGGAAGCATGGGGACACAGGGGCATGAGCGAATGGATGGAAGCATGGGGACACAGGGGCATGAGCGAATGGATGGAAGCATGGGGACACAGGGGCATGAGCGAATGGATGGAAGCATGGGGACACAGGGGCATGAGCGAATGGATGGAAGCATGGGGACACAGGGGCATGAGCGAATGGATGGAAGCATGGGGACACAGGGGCATGAGCGAATGGATGGAAGCATGGGGACACAGGGGCATGAGCGAATGGATGGAAGCATGGGGACACAGGGGCATGAGCGAATGGATGGAAGCATGGGGACACAGGGGCATGAGCGAATGGATGGAAGCATGGGGACACAGGGGCATGAGCGAATGGATGGAAGCATGGGGACACAGGGGCATGAGCGAATGGATGGAAGCATGGGGACACAGGGGCATGAGCGAATGGATGGAAGCATGGGGACACAGGGGCATGAGCGAATGGATGGAAGCATGGGGACACAGGGGCATGAGCGAATGGATGGAAGCATGGGGACACAGGGGCATGAGCGAATGGATGGAAGCATGGGGACACAGGGGCATGAGCGAATGGATGGAAGCATGGGGACACAGGGGCATGAGCGAATGGATGGAAGCATGGGGACACAGGGGCATGAGCGAATGGATGGAAGCATGGGGACACAGGGGCATGAGCGAATGGATGGAAGCATGGGGACACAGGGGCATGAGCGAATGGATGGAAGCATGGGGACACAGGGGCATGAGCGAATGGATGGAAGCATGGGGACACAGGGGCATGAGCGAATGGATGGAAGCATGGGGACACAGGGGCATGAGCGAATGGATGGAAGCATGGGGACACAGGGGCATGAGCGAATGGATGGAAGCATGGGGACACAGGGGCATGAGCGAATGGATGGAAGCATGGGGACACAGGGGCATGAGCGAATGGATGGAAGCATGGGGACACAGGGGCATGAGCGAATGGATGGAAGCATGGGGACACAGGGGCATGAGCGAATGGATGGAAGCATGGGGACACAGGGGCATGAGCGAATGGATGGAAGCATGGGGACACAGGGGCATGAGCGAATGGATGGAAGCATGGGGACACAGGGGCATGAGCGAATGGATGGAAGCATGGGGACACAGGGGCATGAGCGAATGGATGGAAGCATGGGGACACAGGGGCATGAGCGAATGGATGGAAGCATGGGGACACAGGGGCATGAGCGAATGGATGGAAGCATGGGGACACAGGGGCATGAGCGAATGGATGGAAGCATGGGGACACAGGGGCATGAGCGAATGGATGGAAGCATGGGGACACAGGGGCATGAGCGAATGGATGGAAGCATGGGGACACAGGGGCATGAGCGAATGGATGGAAGCATGGGACAGGGCATGAGCGAATGGATGGAAGCATGGGGACACAGGGGCATGAGCGAATGGATGGAAGCATGGGGACACAGGGGCATGAGCGAATGGATGGAAGCATGGGGACACAGCCCTCGAGAGGCGCTCTTAACACTGACAGCCCTCCCTGCACTGCACGCACCTTTGTTGGGTGGTCTGAGGAAGTCAGCATCATCTGCATTCATGAAGGGCGGCGAGCGTGGCAGCAGCCCCACCAGCCTTCCCTCAACGCACGCACAGCAACAGCCCTCCCTGCACGCACCTACACCATCAGCACTCCCTGCACGCACCTTTGTCGGGTGGTCTGAGGAAGTCAGCATCGTCTGCATTCATGAAGGGCGGCGAGCGTGGCAGCAGCCCTCCCCAGATGCACCTACACTACACCAGCAGCCCTCCCCAGATGCACCTACACTACACCAGCAGCCCTCCCCAGATGCACCTACACTACACCAGCAGCCCTCACGAGGCGCACTCTTAACAGCGACAGCCCTGCCTGCATGTACCTTTGTCTAGTTTTGAGACGTCTCAAAACAGGATTATGAGACGTCTCAAAACAGCGACAGCCCTGCCTGCACGCACCTTTGTCGGGTGGTCTGAGGAAGTCTGCATCATCAGCATTCATAAACGGCGGTGAGCCTGGCAGCAGCCCCAGCATGTGGCCGCCTGGTTGAGGGGCAGGAAGGCAGGAGGGCAGGAGGGGAAGGAGGGGAAGGAGTCGAAGAAGGGGCAAGGAAAAGATTTGTGGGGCTGATAAGCAAGTCGGATGAGCCTGGCAGCAGCCCCAACATGTGGCCGCCTGGGGGGGAAATGCGGCAGGAGGAGCAGGAGGGAAAATAGCGGAAGGGGTGGAAGCACAGAGCATCATTCGTGGGGCTAGTCAACTAGTCTGCATCATCAGCATTCATGAGTGGTGGTGAGCCTGGCAGCAGCCCCAACATGTGGCCGCCTGGGGGAGGAGAGGAGAGGGAGGGCAAGAGGGGAAGGAGGGGCAGGAGGGGAAGGAGGGGCAGGAGGGGAAGGAGGGGCAGGAGGGGAAGGAGGGGCAGGAGGGGAAGGAGGGGCAGGAGGGGAAGGAGGGGCAGGAGGGGAAGGAGGGGCAGGAGGGGAAGGAGGGGCAGGAGGGGAAGGAGGGGCAGGAGGGGAAGGAGGGGCAGGAGGGGAAGGAGGGGCAGGAGGGGAAGGAGGGGCAGGAGGGGAAGGAGGGGCAGGAGGGGAAGGAGGGGCAGGAGGGGAAGGAGGGGAAGGAGGGGAAGGAGGGGAAGGAGGGGAAGGAGGGGAAGGAGGGGAAGGAGGGGAAGGAGGGGAAGGAGGGGAAGGAGGGGAAGGAGGGGAAGGAGGGGAAGGAGGGGAAGGAGGGGAAGGAGGGAAGGAGGGGAAGGAGGGGAAGGAGGGGAAGGAGGGAAGGAGGGAAGGAGGGGAAGGAGGGGAAGGAGGGGAAGGAGGGGAAGGAGGGGAAGGAGGGGAAGGAGGGGAAGGAGGGGAAGGAGGGGAAGGAGGGGAAGGAGGGGAAGGAGGGGAAGGAGGGGAAGGAGGGGAAGGAGGGGAAGGAGGGGAAGGAGGGGAAGGAGGGGGCTGATTAACTAGTAGAACAGATAATCACGTGGAGTGTGCTGCAAGCCATGCATGCTTGCGCTCTTGCTTTCTCTCCTCTATCTCACCCTTCCCGCATGCTCCCCTTTCCCCCAGCTCACGCTCATGTGTGAGTGTTTTTTGTTTGTTTGTTTGTTTGTTTGTTTGTTTTTTCTCCTTCTTTCCCTTCACCCTTCCCCTATGCGCCCCTTCCCCCACTCCCTGTGCTCCCCCACCCCCCCTCCCCCCATCTCCCACACCCCTCACCTTCACTCTGAGGCCCGGGGAAGTCTGCAGTCAAGTCAGAGAGGCTGAAGTTTCTTGGAAGGTGCCCCAGCAACCCCAGGGCGACTTCCCTGGGAACAGCAGCCGAGGGTTGTTGTGCCCCTGTGCTGTCATGCATGCCTGTATTGTCCTGTGCCGCCGTGCCATGCGCTCCCCCTCCTGTACCATGCATCCCTGCCCCTCTGCTTGACGGGCCATGGTCGTTGTGGTTGCTGGGATCATGGCGATCAGTGGCAGCGATTAAATCGCCATGCCCATGGCCATGTGTTGAGTGCTGCTGCTGATGCTGATGCTGCTGCTGCTGCTGCTCGTGGTTACTATGATGACTGTGATGGTGATGGCTGTGTGGTCGGTCCGTGTCCATGCTAGCATGATGCTCGTGGGGGTGCTGATGCTCCTGTTGATGATGGGGATGGGGATGGTGATGTGGGTGTTGATGTGGGTGTTGATGGGGGTGGTGATGGGGATGGTGGTGGGCTCCTTGCTCGTGTCCTGCCTCCCCTCCACCATCCCCATCCCCCTCTCCCCGAGATCCAAATGCCGGCTCGTGATTGGTCGAAGTCAGAGCGAGAGAGGACGAGAACGGGCCTACATCTAAAGCCGTCAACCCCATGCCCATGCCCATGCCCATACCCATGCCCATACCCATGCCCATGCCTATCCCCGACAGATCAACCGAACCAAACGGAAATGCCATGTCACTCCCGTCGCTGTCCAGCTCAGCAGCTCCGCCCACCCCTGCCATGTCATCATCATCCTCACTCGCCCCCGCCCTTCCTGACCCCCCTTCTCCTCCGCCCCCTCCCTCTCCTCCTCCCCCTCTTTCTCCCCCTCCTCCTCCTCCTCCTCCTGCCCCTACTCCCAACGCCTCCTCTCCACCCCCCTCCTCCATCCCCACGTCTAAATCCAAATTCCCCCCATCTACCCCTTCCATCCCCTCCACTGGCTCTAGCTTCAACATCCCCCCCGTCCCCATTCCCCCCATTCCCCCCATGCCCCCCATTCCATCCTCTCCCCCCATCCCCACCCCTCCTTCCGCGAAACCCCCCATCTCCACAGCCTCTCCCCCCCCTGCGCCTGCACCATCTGCACCCAACTCCCCCCCATCTGCCCTTGCAGCCCCCGCGCCCCCTGCTGCCCCAGTCTCCCCTTTTGAATCGAATCTCCCTGCTGCAACACCAGCAGCAGCGGAGGTATTTAAAGCATGGCCCATGTGGGTCATGGCATGTGCATGGGCATGCGGATGGGCATGGGCATGGGCATGGGCCATCCCATGTGCATGGGCTTGCATGGCCGCAGCATGTGCATTAGCAGAGGACGGAACCCCTATCACCGCCATCTCACTCCCTCCCCCATTACCATTCCCTCCCCCCCCACCACCACCGCCACCACCAGCAGCAGCAGAAGCAGGGTGGGAGTGGGGGTGGGCGTGGGGGTGGGGGTGAGCGTGGGGGTGGGGGTGCGGGCCAAAGGGGAGCATGTGCGGGGGAAGCATACCAGGCATCATGGGGGGAGGCATGGGCGCGCCTGGGGGGACGTGGGGGGGCATGTGGGGGGGATGCTGGCCCGGGGAAAGCATGGAGTAGGGGTGGTGGAGCATGTGGGGGGGGTGGTGCGGGTGGTGGGGGTGGTGCCCTGCTGCTGCTGCGGCGGCGGCGGCGGCTGCGTGAGGGTGCATGAAAGGAGGCGCTGCGCCGTGCACTGATGGGGGGGTGGGAAACGGAGGAAAGAGGGGGGGAGGTTTTTTATGGAGGGTGCATGAAAGGGGGAGCTGCGCCGTGCACTGTTGGGGGGAAGGGCGGATGGGAGAATGGGGGAAAGGGGGGATGTGACAATCAAGCGGGTGGGCAAGGGCGGGGTGGGTGAAGGGTGTGGGGTAGAACTGGGGAGGGAAAAAAAGTGAAGAAAAAAAAGGGAGAAGAAAGGAGCAAAAGAGAGGGACAATGGGCGAAGACAAGGGTGTAAAAAATGTGAAAAAAAGAGGGGAAAAAAGGAAGAAAAGCGGAGGCAGATGACGAGGAGTGATTACCCTAAACCCAATCGCGTTCACCTTCCTACACCCCATACTCCTTCTTCATCCTTCACCCATCACCCACATCTTCGTACCATTCAACGTCTCTCCCTCTCGCAACCCTCCCACACACACTCACCTCCACCTCAGACCCCTCCCAACCACACTCTTTTCCACCCCACACTTCCTCTCCACCCTCACTCTCCTCTCCTCCCACACTCACTAGGGGGGCCTCGCATGGACGCAGGGACACCAGGCACAGGCGCTCCAGAAGCAGCAGCTGCGCTCGATGCAGCATGGGCTGGCGGGGGAGCAGGGGTCGCCGAAGCAGCAGCAGCAGCACCGGCAGTTGCACCACCAGCAGCGGCACCCGTGGCACCAGTGCCAGCAGCAGCGCCTGTAGCAGCAGCAGCGCCTGTAGCAGCAGCAGCAGCAGAAGCAGAAGCAGAAGCACCAGACGCTGCCGCCCCAGCTGTAGCAGCCGCAGAAGCTGCCGCCCCAGGGGTGGAGTGCGATGCGGAGCGGTGGAGGCGCTGGGTGCGCACGGCGTGGGCGTGCTGTTCAAGCAGGGCGTTGAACTGGTGGATCTGGTCCTTTAGGCGCAGCCGCATGTGGTACGAGCGGAAAAAGTCGGGGTTCTGCTCTTCTAGCTTCTGCCACACTGCGGTGGAGAGGGGTGGAGAGGGGTGGAGATGGATGGAGAACAAGGGATGGTAACAGGGTGGAGTGTGCTGTTCAAGCAGGGCGTTGAGCTGGTGGATCTGGTCCTTGAGGCGCAGCCGCATGTGGTAGGAACGGAAGAAGTCGGGATTTTGTTCTTCTAGCTTCTGCCACACTGCGGTGGAGAGGGGTGGAGAGGGGTGGAGAGAGATGGAGAAAACGGGTAGGTAACAGGGTGGAGTGTGCTGTTCAAGCAGGGCGTTGAACTGGTGAATCTGGTCCTTCAGGCGCAGCCGCATGTGGTACAAGCGGAAAAAGTCCGGGTTCTGCTCCTCCAGCTTCTGCCACACTGCGGTGGAGAGTGGTGGAGAGTGGTCAAGAAAGGTTGAGAGGGGTGGAAAGGGATTGAGAGCGGTGGAAAAGGGTGGAATGGAGCAATGGAAGGGGGAGAGCGAAAAGGAGACATTGCAGAAGAGCGGTGAGGTTGAACTGGTGAATCTGGTCCTTGAGGCGCAGGCGCATGTGGTAGGAGCGGAAGAAGTCCGGGTTTTGCTCGTCTAGCTTCTGCCACACTGCGGTCCAGAGGGGTGGAGAGAGATGGAGAAAACGGGTAGGTAACAGGGTGGAGTGTGCTGTTCAAGCAGGGCGTTGAACTGGTGAATCTGGTCCTTTAGGCGCAGGCGCATGTGGTAGGAGCGGAAGAAATCCGGATTCTGCTCCTCCAGCTTCTGCCACACTGCGGTCCAGAGGGGTGGAGAGGTGTGGAGAGTGGTCGAGAAGGGTGGGTGGAGTGAGGAATGGGCGCAGAGAGCAGGGAGGGCGTTAGGGAAAAAAACACGAGATACAGAAGTAGAAGGGTTCGGGGTTTAGGGATGAGGCGGGTGAAAGAGGATTTAAATAGACACAAGGCAGAGCAGCGGACAAGAAGGATGCAATCGTGCAGCCCTGGGAGCTTCAGAAAACAAACGGGGGAAAATGCTGGACTTAGGGAGGCTGCGGAATACATGTAGAAAACAAGTAAGGACTAACGCGGCAGGCAGGAATAATAAGTATGGATTCTCAACACATCTTCCACATTCCAATCAACAAACGGATGTGATCAACAGTCGGACAGGCATACAGCCAGAAAGCAAGTAAGACAGTCCGCCAGTCAGTCGTTAATCAGTCAGAATCAGCCAGTCACCGAGTCAGTCAATCAGTCAATCGGTCAGTGAGTGAGTGAGTGAGTGAGTGAGTGAGGGAGTGAGAAGCACGGACCGAGTTTGGTGAAGCCGGGTTCGATCTTGGCCTGGTACTGCAGGGTGGACACCACCTCCCTCTGACTCATGTACAGCTGTAAGCACCGCTCAATCAGGTTCTGCACCTGCCAAGCGTGCATCCAACGGTGTCAATAACAACACATGATAGGGACAAGGGGGAGGATGGGGCGGAATGGGGTAAGAAGAGGGGTGACTCTTGCACAGTTGCAAGCACCACTCGTTCAGGTTCCGCACCTGCCCCCAGCAGCAGCAGGAGTGGGGGTGTTCCATTTATGCACAGGTACAGGAGGAGCTCGTTCAGTTTTTACACCTGCCAACGGCAGCAGGTTCCAACCAGCTCAAGTTATACTTCGTTATAATCCCACCCGTTTTCAGCCCTACCAGCTGAATGTCCTCGCAGGATATCTTCCTCCCCTCCGACGGCGCCTGCTGTGCTGATGACAGCGATGATGACGTGGCAGGCTTCGTGCACGCTGACGTGGATGGGGAGAGCACGGCCATGGCACCGGTAGGAGCACTGGCCGCAGCACCAACACCAGCCGCAGCAGAAGCACCAGCAGCACCACCACCACCACCAGCGCCAGCGCCAGCGCCAGCAGTGGGCGCAGTGGTTGCAGCAGGGGAAGGATCAGTAACGGCCATGGGCTCGGCAGCTGCGGCAGCAGGAGATGTGGCAGTAGGGGCGGAAGCCGATGGAGGGGAACCACCACCGCCGGTTCCTGCTACTGCTGCACCCCCACCTCCAGATTTATTCCCTGCTGCTGCTGCTGGTGCTGCCGCTGCTGCTGCGGGTGCTGCTGCTGCTGTTGCTGGTGTTGCTGCTAGTGGTGGTGGTGGTGGTGGAGGTGTTTTGTTTTTTGCAGCGGGAGACGTGGCGGGAGCAGCTGGGGGGGATCCGGCGGGGGACGCGGGGAGGCCTTCCACTGACGCGCCCGCGCCAAGCGCTGCAGCAGCAGCGGCGGCGGCGGCTGCAGCAGCGGCACTTGGCGGCTTCGCAGACATGGATTGGCGCTTGAAGCTTGATGCTTTGATGCTTGGCGATGGGGGCTTGGCGGTCGAGGTTCGGCGTTCGGCGTTTGGAAGTTGTGGTTGACGTTCAAGGTTTGGACAAGGGCAGCTTACGACACGCACCGGCTCATGCCGTCAGTCTCTTGTGCGATACGGCTCGCCAAAAAAAATACCCGCGAAGCTCTCCTGGTAATGGAAACCTCCTCTTGTTTAGCGATTGCTAAAGCCGAGAGAGAATGTGCATCTCTTCTAAGGTGTACAGTAATCAGCAATTACTAGACGCCACTGGCTCGGGACTAGAATGAGAAGCCCAGGCAGATGCGCGCTGCGCAGTGTTCAATGCCATAATGTCACATGTCATGATGACATTGTAATGTCTCGATGCTCTGATGTTGTAGTATCTTATTCTCAAACTGGCAGAAGAATGGGCCCATGCACGAGATTTATATCTCACGTGTCACGACCGCCGAATTATCATTGTCCATGGATAGAGAACTGAAAGTAAGACTCGAAACTCAGATTACGCAACAATAAAAATCAGTTTACGAAAGAGTTTGATGGAAGGAGGAGGAACAGAGTCTTGCGAGAAGGTTTCTTTCGGCGCAGGTTTCTTTCGGCGCTCACTTTTAACCAGGCTATTCTAACCAGGCTAACGCTTAGGAAGGAAAGGGGGAAAGGCCGAAGGTGCACCGCAGCGCAGCGAGAAGCAGCAGTGCGAGGGCTAGCGCCTAGAGGTAGGAGCAACGGGATGTTACTGGAAGCGACACGTGGGGCGGCCTAATAAGTCTCCTATTGGAACACGTATATTCGCCTGAGGGTACGGTTGCGAAGTTTGAAGTCCATGATCTCGCAACACTACGGCGTGGCAGACTCGCCGTAATTATTACCGTCGCCGCACTCTGCTAACTCTTATGCTCACTGATGTTTCTTCGGAGGTTCCATGGTTTTGTGCAGGAACCTAATCGCCTGCCATCCCAATTTCACGATCTAATCCCAACGTTACCGCACCAGCCTGGTTCGTCAGTTGTCGCTCTATTCTCCCTTGGGCCCAACCAGCTAGCCTTGGGAACATCCAGCCTAGAGAGACAGAGCTTGGGAACATCGTGCCAGTAAAACAGACAGCCTTGAGAGCATTGTGCCAAAAGAAAAGACGGTCTGGTCTGGGCGGGAGGGAGCATACACCTTCGTACTGTACTTAGCTGCCAATTCTCAGCGCGGACAAATTCGTGGTGCAAAAACCCCTTGGATTCATCCGAAAACCCCCGCCTTCGTCGAAGCCGATTCGCGAACCCACTTTTCAAACCTGCCCACCCTTTCAAATTGCCTTTTCGAATCCCAATCGACATGTATTTGGTCGTTGAACCAATCACAGGTGCAAATGATGCGCCGCCTAGCAACTTTGCGTCGGATCCACGTCATTCTGAACCGCTCTCTAACAGCATCCTGCATCCCGTACAGAACTGCCCAGTACAGCACGAGGATGCCGCTGACTGGAGGTGGTGTACTGAACTGTGTACTGCGCGACAATTCATAGGAAGTGTGATCTGAAATGCACACTTCACATACAATAAACAAGAGTTCAATAAATTGAATGAATCAGTCACCTTTAGAAATCGTTTTCGTACATCTCATACAATGCCCTTGGAGTTTCATGAGTGATGTTGTTCATGGCGATATAGAAATCCATAGCATATATTTTCTTCACCCTCCCGTAGGTATCCTGTAGTGCGACAAACAGGAGAGCGACCAGTAGCAAATAAAACGAAGAGTACCGTGGAAAGAAATGGATGGAAGAGATGGGCAGGACAGGGGACGAGATCGAAGTGAGTTGGAAAAGGTAAGAAAAGCCTCGGGCCAAGGATGGGCAAGAGTGAGGGTAGAAACACAATAAGTGAGCACACACCTTGTCATACAGCTTCGTCAGCCGCCGGTCCGTATCCGTGAAGTGCGCTCCCTTGCCGAACCTGAACACGTCCAGGTGCTCGCCACCAAACCTGTCGACCACCGTCTTAACATCCTCCTCCAGGCGCTCGAATCGCCCCACAAAGTCGTACTTGATGGAGCCCAGCGCACAGATGTCTTCTTGTGGCGCCAGGTGGCGGTCCATGTCAGCGCGGTGACTGGCCAGCAGCTTGCCAACAAGGCGGACGAAATCCGGGAAGGAGACGAGGCCTGTGCTGTCCTTGACTGCCTCGTACATGGGCTTCACTGCGTGGAAGAAGGCCTGTGGGATCGAGGGGTGTGTATGGGGAAGACAGCTTCTAAAAGTAGCAAGGGATACGCACATGGGCTTCGTCCATGGGCTTCACAGCATGGAAGAAGGGCTGTGGGAAGGAGGGATAAGTGGTGGGTGCATTTTAAAGTGGAATGTTGGGGTACATTGCGTAACTCGAGGACATATTATAGAGTAAGAAGACAACGGGTACACATGGCCCCTGGCTGTCCTTGACTGCTTCGTCAATGGGCTTCACTGCATGGAAGAAGGCCTGAGAAGGTGGGGAGGAGGCACCAGCGCGGTACAGGGTACAGGGTACAGGGGTAGAGGGTACAGGGTACACAACAGCCAAAGGGCACCCGTGCTACTCACGTTGCTCCGATACTGGCGGGTGCCCCAGCCGGTGCGCACGAGCTTGTTGGAGTAGGCCGAGGCAGCAAGGCATATAACACAGGGAACAACACAGCCAGATAGCTCAGCAGCACCACTGCAGGCACTCACGTTGCTCCAGTACTGGCGGGTGCCCCAGCCTGTGCCGGTCTTGAGCTTGGGTCGGTCGGTACGCACGAGCTTGTTGGAGTAGGCCGAGGCAATGCGCGAGAAGGGGTTGCGCACAAAAGTGAACTTGAAGAAGTCTGGACGGGTCATGAGCCGGATCTGGGGGAGATGAAGGAGGAAAATGGGGGATGAGGGAGAATGATGCAGGCTGAGTTGACTCAGAGTCCTGGCAATGCACGAGAAGGGGGTGCGCACGAACGTGAACTCGAAGAATACCGGGCGCGTCATGAGACGGATCTGTGAGGGGCGATGAAGGAGAGGGATGCGGGATGGGGGAGAGAGATGCACGAGAAGGGGTTGCGCACGAATGTGAACTTGAAGACGTCCGGGCGGGTCATGAGCCGGATCTGACCAAAGGGTGGAAATCGGGACGGGGCAGAGGGAAGGGAAAGAGGAACGGAGGTGGGTTCTAAGTCGATCGGCCAGCTCTATGGTTGAGAAGGGGTTGCGCATAAATGTGAATTTGAAGAAGTCCGGGCGGGTCATGAGCCATATCTGGAATGGAGGAAAGGGGAGAGGGATGGGGGCAGCGCTTGAGGCGACTCAGCAGTAACTTCGACAGTAGAGAAGGGGCTGCACACAACACCTGAAGAAGTCCTTCACTGCTTGCAGACGCATCATGGTCGTATCTGCCAGCTTGTGCAGCCCTCACGGCTTCTCGTTTGCAGCGCGTGATAAAACGCCCCAACTGGCTCAACACGACAATAACCCCCAGCCCCACTCACCGCCTGTTCTTCGGTGAAATCGAGAGCCAGCTCGTGCAGTCCCCACTCCTTCTCGTTGAGCGCCAGCAGCGGGTCCTCTGGGTTGGGCAGGCCCAGGCGCGCCCTCAGCCACATGAGCCACGAGTTGCACGCCACCTTGGGGATGGCGCAGTACACCAGCTTCAGGGACTCTGAGAGTGGGTGGGTGGAATGGGAGTGGGGAATGAGGTATGAGGATGGGTGGGGGGATGCAGAGGGCAGCCGCAGGCGCCCCCTCAGGCACATGAGCCAGGAGTTGCAGGCCACCTTGGCAACGGCACAGTACAGCAGCTTCAGGGACTCTGAGTGGGGCAGGGGGTGTGGGTGGGGAGGGGGGCGGGGCGGGGATACAATGGAGCATCGCTGCAGCCACATGAGCCAGGAGTCGAGTTGCAGGCCACCTTGGCAATGGCGAAGGCGCAGTACAGCAGCACAGCAGCACAGCAGCACAGCAGCACAACAGCACAGCAGCACTGCAGCACAGCAGCACAGCAGCACAGCAGCACAGCAGCACAGCAGCACAACAGCACAGCAGCACAGCAGCACAGCAGCACAGCAGCACAGCAGCACAGCAGCACAGCAGCACAACAGCACAGCAGCACAGCAGCACAACAGCACAGCAGCACAGCAGCACAGCAGCACAGCAGCACAACAGCACAGCAGCACAGCAGCACAGCAGCACAGCAGCACAGCAGCACAGCAGCTTCAGGGACTCTGAGAGGTGGGGGTTGAGGGGGGTATGAGGAGGTATAGATACGCGGCGGCAGCCCCAGGCGCCCCCTCAGCCACATGAGCCAGGAGTTGCAGGCCACCTTGGGAATGGCGCAGGCGCAGTACAGCAGCACACCAGCTTCAGCCTTCAGGGACTCTGAGAGTGGATGGGTGAATAGATGGGTGGGTGAGCGGCAGCAGGGGCCAGGTCAAGGGTCTAGAATCTAGAGTCTAGAGACTAGGGACTAGACTTCAGTGCCTCTCACCTTCGGTGATGGTGAAGTGAGCCAGTTTCTAGGGGGGTGGGTCTAGGGCTTGGGGCTTAGGGCTTAGGGGCTAGCCATTAGTGCCTCGTACCTTCGATGATGGTGAGTCGAGCGAGCTTCTGCTGGGTGAGTGGCAGCAGGGGCGGCGAGTCAAGCATCTAGGGTTGAAGGCATAGGGCTTTGCGTTTAGGTACTAGCCATTTGCGTGTCTCTTACCTTCGATGATGGTGAAGCGGGCGAGCTTCTGCTGGGTGAGCGGCAGCAGGGGCGGCGAGTCACAGACGGGGCGCTGCACGCGGAAGAGGTCGGAGCGGGCGGCGCCGTGGGCGGCGATGAACATGGCTTGTGGCGAGGCCAGGCCGGCCTTCAGGGAGATGAGCCCTCGGGTCATGCTGAGCGCAAACAGCTCCACTGCCTGTGTGATGGGGGGGGTGGGAGGAGGGGGAAAGATACAGTTGACCAGGTGGCTCAAACACACGTCCGTGGGTGGCGATGAACATGGCTTGTGGCGAGGCCAGGCCGGCCTTTAGGGAGATGAGCCCTCGGGTCATGCTGAGTGCAAACAGCTCCACTGCCTGTAATGCGACGGAGGAGGGGGGGGAAGCACAGCCGGATCCATGTTCTCCGCATCTGCATTCCATTGTGCACGCATAGACGCACCCACCCATACGCACCCACCCATACGCACCCACCCATACGCACCCACCCATACACACCCACCCATACGCACCCACCCATACGCACCTGCAGGCGGACACACAGCATGAGATCATCGGGTGACAGGCTCTTCTTCATAAGCAGCTGCCTCACCTCCGTCCCGTTTCCTCCTCCCGTTCCATTCCCTCCCACCATTAACCTAACTCCATTCCCCCCCCCAACAGCAGCTCCATTCCCATCCACTCCTTCTCCCACTTCTCCTGCTCCTCCTCCGTTACCTCCTCCTCCTACCCCCCCTCCACCTCCCTTCCTCCACTCCTCCACCCCGCCTTTCCCCAAATCCGCCCTCTCCCCCTTGGGACACGTGGCAGCACGTGATTGGGTGGCTTGCAGCACGAACGGAGCGCGGGAGGGGTGGAAGGTGTCGGAGATCCGGGCGGCGTTGAGGGCGGTGCGGGCGGCGAGGGCGAAATCTAGCGAGGGGCGCTTGAGAAAGGACATGGCGAGGCGGCGCGTGGCACAGAGGTGGGGCGAGGAGGTGGCAAATATGGGGCACCCGGGACATCCGTCCAGGGATAAATCCTGGAGGGTTACGGACGATTAGGTGCGGGAGAGGGGGGAGAGGAAGAGAGAGGGATGATAATGGTTGGCTTCCTTGGATCGAAGCAGAAAGGGAGACAGCAATCATGCAACCTGAGACGAAGCGAGGCGAGGGAGTTTGAGTTCAGAAGCGAGGGCAGTGTGGGGTGATGAGCTGAGCGCTTGAGGAAGGACATGGCGAGGCGCAGAGGGGAGGAGGGGAGGTGGCGGATATGAGGCAGCCGGATATGGAAGTTGTTGAATTGCTTGGATTAATTGAATTAGGAAGGAGGGACGGCTATTGCGCAAGTTGAGAAGTGAGGGGGAAGCGGGGAGAGGGCGGAGTGGAGTGAGGGATGCTTGAGGGGCACCTGTAGCAGCAGTGCCGCGTGTAGAAAGTGCGTATTTGAGACGTCTCAAAATACACTTTCAACACGGAGTGGAGTGAGAGATGCTTAAAGGGGCGCCTGTAGCAGCAGTGCCGCGACAGGCGGGGCAGGGTGTAGCGCTGCCATGCATGTTGCCATGCATGCTGCCATGCATGCTGCCATGTTCCGAATCATAAGGCGCCTCAGGGAAAGGCAACTCACATCGAGGTAGGTAGAGGCCGAGGGCGGACTTGAGGCGGCCGAGGTCCTCCTGCAGCGGCGCGGCAGTGCTGCCACAGGCGGGGTGGGCTGCACTGCAGCACTGCCTTTAGAGGAACCTAAAAAGGGCACTCACATCAAGGGAGAGGCCAAGGGCAGACTTGAGGCGGCCGAGGTCCTCCTGCAGCGGCGCGGCAGTGCTGCCACAGGCGGGGTGGGCTGCACTGCAGCACTGCCTTTAGAGGAACCTAAAAAGGGCACTCACATCAAGGGAGAGGCCAAGGGCAGACTTGAGGCGGCCGAGGTCCTCCTGCAGCAGCAGCTCAGCTCGGCCACAAGCGGGGCTGGCTGGGTGCAGCGCTGCCATACATGCTGTCATGCAGCGAATCATAAGGCGGCCTGCAGGGAAACGCCACTCACATCGAGGTAGAGGCCGAGGGCGGACTTGAGACGGCCGACATCTTCCTGCAGCAGCAGAGCGGCCACAGGCGAGGCCGGATGGAGCGACTTTTCAGGCGCCTCAAAAGAGACAGCAACTCACGTCGAGGTAGAGGCCAAGGGCGGACTTGAGGCGGCCGACATCTTCCTGCAGCAGCAGAGCGGCCACTGGCGGGGAGGGGTGCAGCGCTGCCATGCATGCTGCCATGCGGCGCTCGAATGCACACAGGTTCACCGCGTCCTGTGTCACACAGGTGGGAGGGAAAGGGGGGGTGGGCAATGTGAGTGCGGGGAGGGACGTGGGGGGGAGTGCATCAGCAGCTCGGCCACTGGCAGGGCGGGCTGCAGCGCTGCCATGCATGCCGCCATGCGGCGCTCGAATGCACATGGGTTCACCGCGTCCTGTGTCACAGGTAAGTGGGGGGAAGGGGGGGGGGCAGTCAAGGGGGAATAAGTGAGGTAAGTGCATGAGGGTTGCAGCGCTGCCATGCATGCCGCCATGCGGTGCTCAAACGCACATGGGTTCACCGCGTACTGTGTTGCACGGATGGAGGGGAGGGGGGGAGTGGGGGGGCAAGTGCATGAGGGGAGTGCATGAGGGGTGCAGCGCTGCCATGCATGCTGTCATGCGGCGCTCAAATGCACATGGGTTCACCGCGTCCTGTGTCACACAGGTGGGAGGGTGGTGGGGGGAGCGGGAGGGGAGTAGGGGTGGGTGGAGTGAGGGGGGAGAGTGAGGAGTGGGGAGTTGGGGGGAGGGGAGTGGGGAGGGGAGTGGGGAGGGAGAGCGGTTTGTGGAAGTCGGTCTACCAGAAATCATGGCTTTTGAGATGTCTCAAAAGAAATCATGCAGGGTGTTTTTGAGAAATTTCAATAACACCCTGCGACGGAGGGAGAGCGGTTTGTGGAAGTCGGTCTACCAGAAATCATGGAGAGGGTAAGTGGGAGAAGGGAGAGAGGTTGAGCACCAAAACGTATCCCTTTGCACCTCACCACTTCTCGCACCACACACACACACAGGCAGCAGCAGTGCAGCACGCACCACAAGCCAGTTGATGGAGGCGGGCGAGAGCTACAGGTTGAGCGTGAGCAAGGCAGCGCTGGCACTGGCAACACCACATCACACCGCTCTGCACCTCACCACTTCACGCACACACACACAAGCAGCAGTGCAGCACACACCACGAGCCAGTTGATGGAGGCGGGCGAGAGGTAGAGGCTGAGAGTGAGCGAGGCAACAGCGGCATCCGGAGAGCCGCCCCGCTTCTGACACCCGCGGATGGTCACCTGGCGTGGGTGCGACCGGAAGAGGAAGAGGAGGCGGGCGGAGAGGGGAAGGGGGAGGTGGGGAGAAGGTCTGTCGAGGGCGCACACTGCATGTGGCAGCAGCGGCCTGAGAGGCGCCCCGCTTCCAACACGGCGGATGGTCACCTGCCCTGCACACAAAAAAACGGGAAGTTGGGTTGTGCATTGGAGAACGGGTGCAGCAGGGTGGGAATTGACACTAAGGGGGGCAGTAAGGCAATAAACGGCCGCAATTGACAGCTGACTGTGCCCCCATCTCCAGCCCCTCACAAAGATGCAGATTTCCCCCTGGTTCCCCTCCCCCTCTCAGGGTCATGCCAGTAGACGCATACACACAGACGCATACACACAGACGCATACACACAGACGAATACACACAGACGCATACACACAGACGCATACACACAGATGCATACACACAGATGCATGGCAACGAGAGGCCTCTCGTCTCTTACAGGTGGGTGGGTGACACAACTTTTTAGGCGCCTAAAAAATCCTTACAGGTGGGTGGGTGATACGATTTTTGATGCGCCTAGAAAAACCTTACTTACAGGTCGGTGGGTGAGTGCAAGGAACTGGCGCCAGTGAGCAGCCGTCTCGTTCGCCTCCTCCACCCACACAAACCGCCCCGCACCCCCACCCTTGCTGCCACCGCCACCACCACCACCACCAACACCACCACCAACACCACCGCTGCTACTGCTGCTGCTGCCGCTGCCTCCCCTGCTTCCGCTGCTGCTGCTGTTGGCTCCTGTGCCTCCCTCTGTGACATTCCCAAGGTCCGTACCCGCTCGTGACCCCTCGCTACCACCACTGCTTAGCCCCTCCCCGCTCTCCCCGGCCTCCCCAGCAGCAGCGCGCAAGGCCCGCCCTTCCACATCAGGAGGAGGGGGGTTACCAGAGGCGTCAGGAGGAGGGGGGTTACGAGAGGTGTCAGGGGCAGCGAGGGTGAAGAGGTCGGAGAAGCGGATGTGCGGCATGAAGGCGTCAGGCACCCAGAGGGCGAGCGTCGTGAGGTTGGCTGCTGGCAGCAGGGCGGCTGCAGCGCAGACGGTTGATAGCCGCGAGCCCAGATCGCCCTGGACGGACGGGGGAAAGTGGGGGGTGGAAGGGGGGAAACACGGTTAGCAGCGGCAGCAGCGGTTAGACGCGAGCCGAGATTGCCCTGAAAGGACGGGGAGAAGAGGGGGAGCAGGCAGAGGAGGTGGAGAAGAGGGGGGAGGGGAGGGGGAGAGCACAAATAAGGGCCGGGAGTGGTGAGGTTGGCTGATGGGAGCAGAGCAGGTGCGGAACAGAGCCTCGGGTGGCTGGCACACTGCTACGAGTCGCATCCCCGCTTACCTCCGCTATAATCACAGCGTCGGGCGGCCGGCACACCGCCAGCTGGCCTCGCTCCCGGCAGTACCGGCCCTGTCCCTGTTGACCCAGCCCCCAGAAATCATCCAACCCCCCGCTGCCACGTGTCCCTTCGTCCAGGTCATCATAGCTGCCGGTAATGCGCGTCCGTGACGAACGGGTAACCCCGCCGTCGTCGTCGTCATCGTCGCTGTATTCCACGGTGAGGACTAGCAGCAGTAGAAGCACGCTTAGGAGGCAGAGTGTCATGATCCCGCGTCGCGTCCCTAATCGCCAGCTGCAATGCCATTGGCGGCTCGAGCTTCCCGTGGACTTGGTCAATGGCGTCACCATATCGAACGGCTATGATGTAGGAAAACAATTGTAATTAGGTTACCATATTGTTGCAAAGGTGTCGTCCTCCTGTTTCCTTGATGTGCACAGCTAATGCAGTGAGCGTGTGTTGATACTAGTAGCCCGTCGTACGCGATAAGGCGCGTTCACTAGCAGCTACGGCGAGAGCGGCAAGGACCGACGTTCGTGTGTCCACTGCACTCGGGAATACGTGGTGTCAGGCTGACACCTGTTGGAGAAGATCAGATTGACCGTTCGTTGAAGCCAACCAAGAAAGCGCCAGGCCAGGAGCAACCGGCACTGCGAGAAAGCACGTGTGTGCTAACGCCTTTAAGCTAACGCTAAGGATGTTGGCGTCCAGATTCGTAATGCTCTCGTGTGGTGATTTGTTGCTAAGTTGTATCTTGTGCTACAGCTCACATGATTTGAAGCTGTTGCTACGACACTGCACTCGCTTCTAAAACGGTCTCGCTCCAAGCTGAGGATTACAAGTTTCTGTCTTCAGCTCCAAGCTGGAAATAGGGTCCTAGATATGACCATTTCCTGCATAGACTGGGAGCTTGTTAGCGCGACTCGGACCAGAATCCATCGCCTGAACTCGGTGTCTCCAAACGTGTGGTGTGGATTTGAAAAACTCTCCTGTCAGACAATCTACCCTGCACACTCCAGATCCCAATCCTGGAAAAGCATTTGTTGTAACATCTCTAACATATTGGAAAATTTGTTCCATATCTCTCGCATATTTGCTCAAGCATTGAAGAAATAAGCTACACAGTCTAGCGATTTTTCTTAAAATGGAATTATGTTTTACAATAAACACGGATATTACGATGGATGATCCCATAAATTACGGCTCTAGTTTCACCATAATTAAAATTTAATTAAATTTATTTTGTCATGCCACATGAGTACACCAGTTCAGCATGTCCAGCAAAAGCAATGGACAGTCAGCCCCCGAAGTTGTCAATCAGGCAGATTAGCGAAGCCCAATTTTCCTCGCAGGAGTCGTTCGGGCAATTTGGTGTATCTGTCAACTGTTCCCCATTCCGCCAACCCCCCATTCCCCCGTTTCCCCACTACTGTTCCCCCAACTCCTCCCCGGATGTCCTCCACCCCCGCCCCTCGGTTTGACCTCATCACCACGCCTCCTCTTCCCTCCCCTCTCTCTCCCTGCCACCCCCGCTACCTCTTAGCTCCCATTCACTCCTAAATTTTCCTCTCTTCCTGCTAAGGAGATCTTTCCCCCTCGCTCCCTTCACCCTTTCCCTAGCCGTAGCGCGAAACGTGCAGCCATGGCGCTGTCACAGAGGGAGGCGGATATTCAGATGATGCTCGCGGCGAAGGTGCACCTGGGCACCAAGAACTGCAACTACCAGATGGAGCGCTACGTCTGGAAGCGCGGCGCGGACGGTACGTCCGCCGTGTTTTTGTGAACTTAGCGGCGTGCAGTCCGGTTTGTGACACTGATGTGCTCCTCGCCGTGTTAGAGCGCCGGCGTGGGTTCGCGATCGCGGCATTACTGCCCGGAAACGCGCGTTAGGGTTTGGAGTGGGATCTAGGTTCCGAGGCTCGTGGAAGTAGAAATATTAATTACAGCGCAGCAGACGCTGGTTAGCTTGTCGTGCATGCGGATGCTGTCGCTGTCGCAGGGGCGTGGACGATCCTAGGACGATTGATCAGATACTAAGATTTTCGTGACTTCCTAGTATGAGAGCTAGACCGTGCCTGGGATCAGCGAGCGAGCGGAGAGATTAGGAAGAGTAGGGATACGGGTGGGAGACCCGGGATTGTGCGGGGAAATGAGGCGCTGTGGGAGGGTGTCGATGGTAGCTTACTTTACTTGACCTATTCTACACGTCGCATGCTGCCCAAATGTCGAGGTGCCTACGACGGAGCAGACGTGCGAGTTTCCCCGGTTAGCTGCCTGCGACAGACACGGATTCGCCACTGCGAGGGTCGCATTGGGTCGTCGCAAGAGATCATGATCGTGGCACGAAGTTGCAGGAGGATATCGTGGGGTGGAGATGGCAGTGGTGAGAGGTTGGGCATATTCTAAAGCGTTATTTTCTTTCGCGATGGAATTAGCCTACAGAGTTGTTTGGTTGATGACCGGATGGACTTGGGGAATGGCGATTCATCAGGCGCAGCAAACCCCAGGCTGACTCGGATTCTTGTCTCGAAAAAGGAGTTGCTATTTTTTCCGGAGCATGAATAATTTCGAGTCTCTGACCACGGCAAGCCTGACCAGAATCGAGTTTAGAGCATTTCGAAGTAGTATATTTACTGTCCTCGAAACTTTGCCTCGCCGGCTTCCGCGCATCTCCCAGAAATTGCCGATGACGTGACGTGGCCCTCGTTTCCTCTTTCCCACTTCGCCTTCTCCCCCTGTCTCTAAATCGCCATTGCATGATCCCCGCCGCCCGTCCCATGCCGCCCGTCTCCTGCCGCCCGCCCATGGTCACGCGTGTTCATCATTAACCTGGCCAAGACGGGGGACAAGCTGCAGATGGTTTTCAAACACCGTTTCATTCTCCCCCCTCCCACTCCCCCCTTCCCCCACAACCCCGCTTCCTTCCCCCCCCCGCCCCCATGGTCAGGTGTGTTCATCATCAACCTCGCCAAGACGTGGGACAAGCTGCAGATGGCGGCGCGCGTGATTGTCGCGATCGAGAACCCGCAGGACATTTGCGTGCAGTCCGCGCGGCCGTACGGGCAGCGCGCGGTGCTCAAGTTCGCGCAGTACACGGGCGCCAACGCCATCGCGGGCCGCCACACGCCCGGAACCTTCACCAACCAGCTGCAGAACAACTTCAGCGAGCCGCGCATGCTCGTCCTCACCGACCCGCGCGTTGACCACCAGGTACGCCGTTGACCGCGTTGACCGCGTTGGCCTCGTTGACCGCGTTGAACGTGTTAGCCTCGTTGACTACGTGGACCCGCGTACTTGAGAAGTCTCGCCGATCCCTCCCCCTCCTTGCCCAAATTCTATGTCGTGTCCCGTCCCCTTTCCTTCTTCGCTTCTCCTTTCCACTTGTCCCATTTTTTCCCTTTCCTCGCTCTCCTTGATGCGCCGCCTCTGCCCTTCCTCCTCACCCACCTTTGTCCCTTCCCTCCCACCTCTTCTCTCAAGATACGCTTAGGTGGGTGGGTTGCAAAAAAGTGCCAACCCGCAGCTTCCTTCTTTATTCTCTCCACCCACGCCCCGCTTTCTCTTGTTTTGAGGCACATAAAAATCACTCTCCCCTTAACCAATCACCCCCCTTCTTACTCTACCCCCCGCCCCCGATCCCCTTCTTCTCCCTCCCCCCCCCCCCGCCCCCCATCCCGTCCCTCCCCTCATTCCCCGCCCCAACTTCCTGTCTTACTTCAAATTCTTCGATTTCGCCCAGTAGCCCACGGCTGAGGTGGCGCTGACTAAAATCCCCACTATTGCGTTCCACGATACGGACAGCCCAATGCGGTTCGTGGACCTCGGGATCTCCCCTCACCCTCCATTTTCCCCACCATTTCTATCCCCTCCCCCCCCCCTTCTTCCCTCCCCGGCCCCTTCCCCCCCCCACGCCCCCTCCCTTCTTTCCCACCCCGCCCCCGCACCCCCGTTCCCTTCCTCCCCACAACTCCGCCTCCGCCGTTTTCAGCCCACGGCGGAGGCGGCGCTGACCAACATCCCCACTATTGCGTTCTGCGATACGGACAGCCCGATGCGGTACGTGGACCTGGGCATCCCCGCCAACAACCGCGCGAAGCACTCCATCGGGTGCCTCTACTGGCTGCTGGCACGCATGGTGCTGCAGATGCGCGGCTCCATCCTCCCCAGCCAGCCCTGGGACGTCATGGTGAGTCGCCTTGGGGAGGGAATAATGGGAGGTGGGAGAGGGGGAAGCGGGAAGGGGCGAAGGGGAAGGGAGAGGGAATCAGCGGGCGATGGGGACGGAAGAGGGAATTCGGGGCCCCAGGGGGACGGGGGAGGGAATTTGCGGGTTGAGGAGGGCGGAGGGTGAAGGAAGGGAATGGGCGTCGGGTTGAAGCATCCAGTGGGTTTCTTTGCTGGCTGCTGCGTGGTTTTGGACTGGCAGGGATTTTTGTGGACTGTCGTGGGTTTTTGGATGGTGCTGTCGATGTGCGGCCAGAATGCAGCCTGGTAGCCACGTCTTCCGATGGGTTATCGATTCGGAGACGTTTCAGGTCAAGCTAACACGCGTGAGGGGGTACTGAAAAGGGAATTCGGTGGGGAGAGCAAAGCGAGCAGGAGGGACGTGGATGGTAGCAGCAGTACCACTACCAGCTGTACGAGTAGCAGCAGGAGCAGCAGCAGCAGCGCCAGCAGCAGTAGCAGTTGGAGGAATAGCAGGAGGAGCAATGGGAGGAGCAGCAGTAGTAGTAGCAGCAGCCACATCGGCAGCAGCGGAAGATACAGAAGCAGCAGCTGGAGTTTTAGAGGGAGGGGTGTAGCTGGGTACGGAGCGGTGCTTCAGCTCCTGTAATCAAGCGTTCCACCAGAGACCGCTACACCCGTTACCTGCTGCTAATCCTGTGTGCCTCTCCTTGTCTTCCCATCCCCGCCCTGTCCCGTTCTGTCATTGTCACATCCGGTTATTGTCACTTGCAGGTCGACCTGTTCTTCTACCGCGACCCTGAGGAGACCAAGGAGGAGCAGCCCGAGGAGGGCGCTGCGGCGGAGTTCGGAGCGGTGGAGTTCGGTGCTGTGCCCCAGATCGCCGAGGGGCAATGGGATGCCGCCGCTCCCACCGCTGACTGGGACGCTGCTGCTGCCGCCCCTGGTGGTACGTGCGATGGGTGGTTGGGGGGAGAGACGTCAGGGGTTAGGTGGTACTCGTCTCAAAAGTGACTCTAATGGGACGCTGCCGCTCCCACCGCTGACTGGGACGCTGCTGCTGCCTCCTCTGGTGGTACGTGCGATGGGGGGTTGGGGGGAGAGACGTTAGGGGTTTGGTGGTACTCGTTTCAAATGTGACTCTAATGGGACGCTGCTGCTCCCACTGCTGACTGGGACGCTGCTGCTGTCACCCCTGCTGATACGTGTCGTGGGGGATTTTGTGGGGTCAAGTGTGCTGGCCGGGTAAGGATGGTATTGGTAAAGCAGGGAGGGTTTAGGGGTTTGGCGGGGCTTACACTTAGGAATGTTTGACCAAGTCTGGCATGGGGGAATGCGCCTGCTGCTGCTGCTGCTGCTGGCTTGGGGCCTGGATTGTGCTGATTGCTGCTGGAGTGCTGCTGGTAGTAGCTGGAATCGCTGCTGCTGACTGGTTGTTGCTTCTTATTGGCTTACTGTTGCCGACTCGACTGCTGCTGCTGACTGGATGGGTTGCTGCTGACCGACTTGACGGCTGCTGCTAATTGCCACACTTGTTTGTACACAGACGTAGAAACCACTCAGAACTCAGAACTCAGAAACCACGCATGATGAGTGGGGTCACATGTGTCTGGCGTTTTTTTTGAAGTCTTGATGCATGATGAGAGGGGTGACACCTGTTGGGCATGCACACACAGATACACACACAGCTGCACACATGCATACCTCATGCTATCACTCCCAACACTGCAGGTGCTGTGCCGGCTATTGCTAGTGGCTGGGATGCTGCTGCCCCCCCTGCTGCAGGCGCTCCCCCTGCTGGTGTTTTGTCAGGCTGGGAACCCGTTGCTCCCCCCGTGCCTGGTGTGCCTCGGGCTGGCTGTGACAACTTTTGAGCTGACTAAAAAATCCTTCCTCTCCCCCCTTCTCCCGCCTCCCAACACTGCAGGTGCTGTGCCGGCTGTTGCTGGTGGCTGGGATGCTGCTGCCCCCCCTGCTGCCGGCGCTCCCCCTGCTGCTGCCTCATCAGGCTGGGACGCCGCCGCTGCCCCCGTGCCTGGTGTGCCCGGGGCTGGCTGGGACGCTGCTGCCCCCGGTGGCTGGGAGGCTGCCCCTCCTCAGTAAACACCTTCTCCAGATGTGACCTTTCTAGTTGGTGTGCGTGCACACTGCAGCATCACAAGAAGGCAGAAGGTCCCGTCGGCTGCTGTATTGATGTTTCGAATATCGAGGGAAGAGAGTCGTCTTGCAGGATACACATGCTTGTTTGTGATGTGCTTCATAATGAAATAGAATATCCTGTTTCTGTTCCTGTATCTCAGTAACGGTTCACAAAAGAAATCTGCTTCTACAATTATGGATTATATTCAAATAGAATATCAGAACTATTTTTCAAGACCTCTCTTCAACCTCTCACTGAGCAGTGATGTGGTTGGCCTGTATCCATTCCCTATGCACAGTCATAGCAGCGGGCTGTTGCTTATGTGGCGCGCATGAGGTGTTTGACTTGGCAGACACACGTACGTTAGCCGCCATCCACGTGCCACAACGACAACTAGTGGGACTGCACGAGGATAAGGCTGCTCCTCATCAAGCCAATGACAGCTATGACCGACTCGTGATCACGTGATGGTCAGTAGAGATTTGGTTCTGAAACTGCCGAGGGAAAAGGAACGTTTTGTCGCCGTCGCATGACTTACTGAACAATATTCCTTCGAAGTATCTGGATTACTAATCTACAGTGTACATATTTGCGTATGAAAGTCACTCGGTAGGTATATTTTAGCACGACGATGGTCCTTATTGGAAACGATAGATTGCACTTGTTTCTTTCGGAAAGTCCGCGAATTTAGACGTTCACAACACTGTAGCAAATTCTTTTTGGGCAACTTCCTGTGAATGTTCCTAGATGCAAGATCATCATTACAAATGTTGATTCGTTCTGTCTGCGGTCAGCACGGCTCCAAGCGTGAAAGATGTGATGCCAGGGGCAGCCGCACATCCCAACCAAACTAGCTCTCCGGTGTTGCTGCGCTGGCCGCGGGCGTCCTGGAGTTACTGCGGATGCTTCCTGCCTGAAAGGCAGTCCCATGGGATGGTGGTGCCCGAAAAAGTGACCAGTTGTAACAGCTTCTTGCGAAACTCAGAATAGGTGGCAGGGGCAGCAATCGCTCCAACAAATATTGTACAGTGCCCATAGCCAACAACAGCCCGCTCGCTCCCTCTTCGCGTTTACTGTACCGCCAGCTGAGGGTTCCCTTCCCTTCCTTCCCAGCCCCAACTCTGCGGCCTTCATTTCCCCGTTGCTATCCCCTTACCGTTCCGCTCCCCTTACCCTCTCCCCTCCCCTCATCCCTTCCGTCTTCCCATCCCCTTTCCCCCTTGCCCTTCTTGGTTTGGTAAGGATGCGATTTTCCCTTGCCTACAAAACCTCCTCCACCTTCTCATTCCGCGGCTGTCTAGATTACGTTGCTGCAAACTTTGAGGTACCCTTCACCCATCACCAAAGCTCTCCTTGTGCCGCCCTTGTCCCTGGTTTAGCTAGACGAACTGGCTTTCTCGTGCTGACGACAACCTAAGAACCCGGCCTCTTTTTTTCGCTGTCACTGACAGCGTTACAGAGGTTTTCTTTGAGAACCTTTGTCGGGATTCCTGTAATTTCTTTTGAGGGTTTCTACCCTTTCTTCAAAGTGCACGTTTCGTCCATTTTCGCTGAGGATCCTTCACCTTCAGCTTCAGCAGAAAAACTCGTGCAACAACAGCGGCTGTGTATTTCCAACCTTTTTTTCCTACGTGTCAATCCACGTGGAGAAGGGCGGCATGGAGAGCTTGATGGGTACTCGTCTTATTTTCGGCCAACAGAACTTGCTGCAGCTAAAGCAGCTTCAGGCTGCTGCTGCTGCGGCCACGGCACTGTCTGCTGGCCAGTATCTTCCCGTTGACGTAAACCTGCTTCTGCAGCTTCATAACATGTCCGGGATTCAGAGCGATGTTCCTCTTCCTTCGCTCTCGTCGGATGCTCGTCCTCGCCTTACCTGGACGGATAAGGTATACTTTGTTCGAATCGGTCGATGTATCGATAAGCTCTCGCATTTTGCGGATTTTAATATAGGTTTTTTTTTTCTCTTGCAGGAGGATTGCTTGCTGAAGGAGCTGATTCGCCAACACGGAACGAACAAGTGGGCTCTTGTTGCTTCTAAGATCCGCACCAAGACGAACAAGCAGTGCCGTCGCAGGTGGCAGGCGTTTCTGAACGCCATGGGTAACAAGGGCGTGTGGACACCTGAGGAGGATGAGAAGCTTCTGGAAGGTCACCGCTTGTACGGCAACCGTTGGACTGAAATTGCTCGCATGGTTCCTGGAAGGTACTTATCTCCCACTCACACATTACCCGCTTCGCCTCCAGTCTACCATTCTCTAGTTTCTGTACCTGCATACAATTTTTCTGAAGGTCGATTATTTTCCATGTATTCCTGTTTCCAGGACCGACAACGCTGCAAAGAATCGTTTCGCAGCGTTGACTGCTAAGCGCGGTGGTGCTGTTCCGCAAAATCAGTCCAAGTCACCCTCGCATTCGGACGTCTCCGAAAACGTGAGCGCGAGCCAGGTCGGCGATTCGTCTTCCGCATTGAGCGAGAGACCAACGTCAAAGAGGAGCCGATCCGATGTGCACTGGATGGATCGCGCGGTGAAACCGAAGGTGGATTTCGATCTTAACTCCGCTCCAGTGGCCGCTGTTGCGTTGGCCTCCCAGACCAGCAGCGCATGTTCCGAGGTGGAGCAGTGCCTGGAAGGTTCCTTCCTTCCCGATCTCAACTCTCCACTTCCGGAGCTGACGCTCTCGCTGTAGGCGAGGCGAGTGTTTTTTGGCGACTGTGCTTTTGTCAGTCTGGAGGCTTCTCTCGTGCAGGCTCATGGCTCTTATTGCCGTTTTTTTCCTGCCCGAAAGTTGTCTCTAGACCGGTTTTAGCGTTATCGTCATGTTAAACTCCTTGGCAGCAGCGCTTCTGTGCATAGGTGGTTCCACCTTGGCTTTTTCTTGTCTCCGTGCAAGTTGATCCCTTCTGGGATATGCCAAAGTCTTTTCTTTTAGCTGTTCTTGCTTACTGGTAAGACTGTCTGGTAGGATCATGCTCTTAGCTTGTATCATCTGAGCTGCTTGTATCAATGTAGTGTGGAAGATTCAGACACATTTTCATAAATACTTTCACTGAAGTTTTATTTAAGAGAATGCATTGAACCACTGCTTACGTACAGAAACGGTTTTGTGCAAAGCGTGGTGTAAGTTACAAGGCTCCTGTAATTATTAATTGAACCACTGTGGACCATTACGAAGCCCACCGCACCGCCATGGCTCCTCCTTTCTGCATCACTCGCCATCACTCGTAATTGGCATCATTCTCCAGCCGGGAAGGGGATGTTGGATGGATTTCTGTAGAGGGGAGTGTATTGGGATTCCCACACTGGCACGTGTCGTGTGTTCCAGAATCTAGATGGAGCTTTCGGAAAAACCCGTCATTCCAGCCAACAGCGCGGAAGAATCGGGAGCAGCGAAGCCTAGCGCTTCATCCGCGGCCGCTCCGTCCTCTCCTCCTCTTCCGTCCGCGAAAGGCGTCGTCGCGTCGCTAGTGCGCACGTTCGAGGTCCACACGCAACACCACCACCATCACCAACACCTCGTATTCCATCCTGGCTCTCACGAGTCTGGTGATGGCGACGAGCCCGTTCAGGAGCGGCATCGCCGGCGTGAATCCCGATGTCACGAATCCGAGGACCATCCGTTGCCGAAGCGCGCCAAGCTGGGTGACGTGGATGAAGATTTTGCCGAGGGTGCTGCTGTCGGCACATCTTCGCTTCCACGTGCTGCTGATGAGCGACGTAAAACAGCTTCACAAGCGCATGCTGCTGACGACGGACTTCAGATATTTTCATCACCGGGTGCTGCTGATGAGGGGCCTCGGGTAGCTTCACCACCACGGAATGCTGACACGGACGGACTAGCAATTAATCCACGCTCGTTAGACGACGAGCCGGCGCGTCGTGGTCGTGCGGAAGGTGCATCTGTGGCGAGCGACAGCCTTCGTGTTACCGTGAATGGCGCGAGTGGTGCATTTCGTGATGGTGCTGCTGATGATGCGTCCGCGGCGGGGGGAATCGACGAGCTGTGGCGGAAGGCGGAGCTGCGCGCGGTGACCGCGGAGGTGGCGGAAAGCGAGGCGCGGATGAAGGCGCTGGGGGCGGAGAGGGATGCGCGGGAAGCGAGGGTTGCGCGCGCCAGCGAGAGGTGCAGGAAGGTGAGGTGGCATCTCGTTACTATCAGACTCCATATAGTCATAGCAGATCGAGGTGAAGATGTTGAAAGTGATGGAGGCGAAGCGGCATGTTGCTGCTTTTGTTCTTGTTTGTTTGTTTGTTTGTTTTTTTATCTTTTTTTTTTTTCCACATTTCAAGTATGATTTTTTGTTTTGATGTAGCCATTGATGTGCCACATACGACAACTCATGCACCACAATCACTTACTCATTTCTGTCGTCTTGCCACTTGTCAGGCGGAAGTGTCAATCCAGCAAGCCACGTCAGCAGTGCACATGGCGCGGCACGCACAGTACTCCTTGCGGGCGGCAGAATGGGCGGCGGCAGTGGGAGTGAGAGAGGGAGTGGCGGCAGCAGAGGAAGGGAGAAGACGGTTGAATCAGCTGCTGATGCTGGCAGGATCTGAATCAGGGCACGGGGAAGATCAAACCAAGAGTATTACACTTGGTGGTGATGGTATGCTGAGGCTGGAAGGATCGGATGCAGCAGCGTCAGGGAGGAGAGATGAGAAGGAGTCCACTTTTGAGGCGCCTCAAACCAAGAGTATTACACTTGGCGGCATTGGTATGCTGATGCTGGCAGGATCGGATGCAGCAGCATCAGGGAGGAGAGATGAGAAGGAGCATGCAGCACATGGCTTGCTGCAGGGTTTTGAGTCGACTCAAAGGTCAACTGTGCTGATGCTGGAAGGCTCAGATGCAGCATCAGGGAAGAGAGATGAGAAGGAGAATGCAACACATGGCTTGCTGCAGGGGAAGCGGCAGGAAGATGCGATTGATGGAGCGGCGGGGCGGGGGGAGCGCGGAGGGGCGGAGTTGCGCGGGGAGCGAGAAGCTGAGGGGAGTGGAAGGTTAGAGGGGCGGCCATTGGATGCCCTGCATGCGCTCAAGGCCCTGCAGGTATGGCAGCGGGGATGGTCTGTCGGCTGCATTATGATTATAAATCTGTATTAAGTCGCCTTGAACCAAATTTGTTATTACAAGGTGGGAGGGGCGGCCATCGGATGCCTTGCATGCGCTCAAGGCTCTGCAGGTATGGCAGCGGGGGTTTGTGTGGTTGCTGTGCCTCTGCCTCACTGCATGTCGTGAATGTCATTAATCATTAACTGTAATGCTCGGCTCGGCGCTGCTTTTTGTCCATGTGCGCTGCTCTGCTGTTCTATGATCGATGGTATCCCGTTATCCTCCTTCTCTTTCCCCATCCTCCCCCATTCCCTTGCCCTCACCACCTTCGCTCCCCCTCGTGATGTCCAGATGGCAGCAAAGGATCTCTAGGCAGCATCCTTTACAGTGGCGGATCATGGTGTAGACTTGAGTTCTGTAAAAAAAAAACATGTATCCACCTTCTCCTTCCCTCATTCTTGCGCATGCCCTTCTCGTCTCTCGTCCTCTTCCCCCCCCGCCCCCCCCCCACCCCCCCCGGTGTCATGTAGAGATGGCAGCAAAGGACCTCTCTGCAGCATCCTTTACAGTGGCGGATCATGGTGTTGACCTGGGCTGGGCGCTGTAGAGATGGCAGCAAAGGACCTCTCTCGCATCCTTTGCCGTGGCAGATCACGGTGTAGACTTGAGTTCTGTGAGGGAGCATGAGCATGTATCCACCTTCCCCTTCCCTCCTTCTCCTGCATGCCTTTCTCCTCTCTCGTCTTCCCCCCCATCCCCCCCCCCCCCCCCCCTTCTTCCCCCCTCGTCGTGATGTCCAGATGGCAGCAAAGGATCTCTCGGCAGCATCCTTTGCCGTGGCGGATCATGGTGTAGACCTGGGCTGGGCGCTGTAGAGGAGCATGTGAAAGCATTATGTATCCACCTTCTCCTCCCCCTTCCCCCGCCCACACCCCCACTCCCTTCAGATGGCAGCAAAGGATCTCTCGGCAGCATCCTTTGCCGTGGCGGATCATGGTGTAGACCTGGGCGCTGTAGAGGAGCATGTACTGAGCATCAACAGACAATGGATAAGTTATTTGAAAATGCAGCGTGCTCTAACAAATAAGAGTGTTCTGGATTAGTATTTATTAAATAATGCAGGTGGTTGCATTCAATTACCGGTATGTCTCCTCCAGTCCACAGGGGTCTCACAGGTGTAAGTGTTAGAATATGGTGTATTCTTATATTATAATTGCATGTTATAGCTAGTAGTGTAGGGTCTTGGTGGTATACCCCCCTTTGTCCACCTTTCCTACCTATTTCTTGTAACTCTCTCATATTGTAAACCCCTCTTTTGTTTGGCCAACACCTCTCCTTCCTAGCTCCTAGGGTTTCCATGTCTCCTAAGTTCGAACTACCTCTCTTGACAGTAAGATATAGGTGTTACAAGAACAATTGTTCCAACATTGTCAGAGAACAGTTGATTTGGGTGGTAATTCGTTTCCAGTAGACTACCCATGAAGACCTAGATACAGTACCTCTGAGTGATCCCTGAGTCTATTTCTTGCTTCGAAGCGAGGAAACAACTCTAGTTGGTACAAAGAATCGTGCAGTGGAAAAATGAACTATATATACAGAATCCACTGAGCCCGCAATAGAACCCTGTCAGTAAATCATGCATTAGTTCAAAGGCCATGTGTGTTGGTCGGGTACCGTATGTCTGATGGGATGGAACCATTTCTTCTGAAGCACGCTTGAGCAGTGGAGCGACAGCGCCTTGACGAAGCACTGCAGCAACAGCAGTACGCACACACCGGATATACCTTCAATGGTGGTTAGGTTAACCACCTGCACTCCATGGGCGCACCGTGCAGCCACAGGGGCATGAACAATGCTCCTCCCAATCCACGTTGGGTGACTGTCAGCCTCTCTCTGTGTTGGGTGGTGGTTAACCACTGGCCTGATGAACGCTGCTCTACTCCCAACCTACGTTCGGTGGTGGTCAACCACCGGCACCCCATGGAATGAATGAATGACCAATCTACGCTTGCAGCCACAGGGAATGAATGACCGCTGCTCTTCTCCCTGCCTACACTGAGTGGCTGTCAGCCCCAATCTACGTTGGATGGTGGTTAACCACCGGCACTCCATGCGCTCGCAGCCACAGGGGCATGCGGAAGTGCGAGGAGAGGAAGGGGCGGACGTCTGGGAGCAGGGACAGGGTCTCCAGCAGTGGCAGCAGCACCTGCAGCAACTGGAGGGGCGAAGGGGAAACGAGAGGGGAACGGGGAGTGGAAGTGGGTGGAGAGAGGAAGGGGCGCACGTCTGGGAGCAGAGCAAGGGTCTCCAGTAGTGGCAGCAGCACTTGCAGCAACTGAGTGGGGGCGGAGACTCGGAGAGGGAGCGGGAAGGGAGGGGGATGGTAGTGTGAGTGAGGGGAAGGGGATGGAGCCATGGGGGCAGGAAGAAGTGGGTCGAGAGGAAGCGGTGCACGTTAGAGTGCAATGAAGGATGACCAACAGTGGGAGCAGCACTTGCATTAGGATTGAGGGTCATCATCGCTGGCCGAAACGCGTTCGCACGAGACATCTAGACATATTGTCTAACATTTTAACAAATCCACGCGTTACCATTCCTCTTCCAAAGATTAACTTCAGTTTTACATCTACTGCTAGCAATCTTGATGCACATCAAATCCACTCATTTCTAGGAAGCTTGCTGCGGATCAAATCCACTTCATCCTTAGCTGTATTTGTTGATGACCGTGCAGCAGCCACCACTGTTGGTGTTGCTTTTGGGAAATCTCAAAAGCAGCACCGAATCTACTGCTAGGAAGCTTGCTGGAAATAGAATCCACTCATTTCTTAGCTGTATTTGATGACCGTGCAGCCTCTGCCACTGCTCACCTGCCTGTCCAGCCCCTTGCGACTGCTCACCTGCCTGTCCAGCCCCTTGCGACTGCTCACCTGCCTGTCCAGCCCCTTGCGACTGCTCACCTGTCTGTCGGATCCCTCGCCACCGAAGAAGGGGACACATGGCACGCCATTGACTGGTTGTAGCAGGAAAGCGAAGGGGTTGTTGTCTATGATCACTGTGCGGCGCAGACCCCGCCCCAACACTGCAAGGTCCTTCACATGTTGTCTTGTACCTCTGGGGTTTCACGAGAAGAAAAAACGAGGATCGAAACTGAGACGGGTGAGGCTGACGGGGGGAATAGGTGCTGACAGTGGCACGCTAGTAGTTTGCCAGGCCTAGGCAAAAGAGAGGTGGAGGCTCATGATGGATGCGCATGCATACATGGTGACGGTGGTGGCAAGAAAGTGATATTTGAGGCGCGTGGAGGAGGATGCATAGTAAGGGTGGGGCACATGAGGGGCATGCATGCATACATGGTGACGGTGGCAGGGCGGTAGAGGCGAGCTGAGATGAGCCCATCGGGGTCGATTCTGTCCACTAGCGGCCGAGCGTAGCCTGCCACACACACGCAGCACAGACAAGATTGGAACATTGGCGTGAGCATCACGGGTAAACTACCCCTTACTGCACCTCACCCCACCACACCCCTCCTCATTTCGCCTCACACCACCTCACATCACCTCACCCCACCTCACCCCTCCTCAACTCACCTCACACCAACTCACCCCAACTCTCACCACCTCACCCCATCCACTCACCCTCCAGCCAGCCCAGCCGTGAAGAGCACCAGCTCGCCCAGCCGACTGGCTCTCTCAAAGTGCACGGACACCCCAACCGCACCCCAACCACATTTAACCACACTCAACCGCACTCAACCATACCCCAGCGCACCTTCCAGGCCAGCGGTGAAGATCACGAGCTCGCCCAGGAGACTAGCCTGCCTGAGAAACTCTCGCAGCCCCGGGCGCTCAAACACCGTCACCTGCGCCTTCTCCGGTACCCCACTCAACCGCACCCAAACGCATCCCAAACGCATCCCAAACGCACCCCAACCGCACACAACCGCACTCAACCATACCCCAACGCACCTTCCAGGCCAGCGGTGAAGAGCACGAGCTCGCCCAGGCGACTAGCGCGTCTGAGAAACTCCCGCAGCCCCGGGCGCTCGAACACCGTCACCCGCACCTTCTCCGGTACCCCACTCAACCGCACCCAAACGCATCCCAAACGCACCCCAACCGCACTCAACCGCACTCAACCGCACTCAACCATACCCCAACGCACCTTCCAGGCCAGCGGTGAAGAGCACGAGCTCGCCCAGGCGACTAGCGCGTCTGAGAAACTCCCGCAGCCCCGGGCGCTCGAACACCGTCACCCGCGCCCTCTCCGGTTCCCCGCTCGCGTCCTGCGCTTGCGCGAGGTGACAAGGAACGGGGAGAGGTGGCGAGAGGTTGGATGCTACCAGTGGGCCATGGCTATTCATGAGGCCTCTGAGCATATCACGGAAATGAATATGAGTGTATTGGGATTGCGAAAAAAACTAAAAGAGGCTGACTATAGGGAGGTCAGAAACAATGGGCTTACGAGGTCCGTTGTGAAGCATTCGAGCTCGAAGCTACTGACGCCGCTGACGGCGGCGTCTTGACGGACGGATTCCGGCACGTCCTCCGTGTTGTACGCGCATACTAGGGTTTCGTCCAGGTCCAACACGATCTGACGGAGACGGAGCGAAACGGAAAAGGATGTATCGGACAGATGGAAGAGGAAGGTATGAGTCGAAACGCGCAAATTACGACACGACCGGAACACCAGATAGTGGGACTCGGAAAGTTGAGGCACGGTTGAAAGTTAGACCATTAAAATGTCCACGGAGATTATCCCCCTTACGGGGACGACGGGCGCACTAAGTAAACCGAAGAAATCGACAATTGGGATGAGCAAGAAAAAACTTACTGTTAGTCTCGCGTTGTCGCCCTCGTCGCGGGGAGGTAGGAGAGGCTTAGCTCGAGGAGTTTCGGCGGAGGTAGTGCTAGTTAGTAATAACGATGGCGACTCAAGGGCTAGTCTGTCAGCGTGATCCACTACAGCGTGAAGGCCCGCGGAGATTAAGAACGTTCTTAATTGCGCTCCGTTTCCAAATTGATGGAGAATTCTAAGCAAAAGAATAAAGAATATGTGCATCGTTTGCAGTATATACGACTGTACCGCGATCCAGTAAGGAAGACTGGGAGCCATGCTTGCCGGTACTAGTTGCGTGGACGCCATAGGTTCAATCACAAAAGGAGAGTTTGAGGAAAGTGTGTCAGATTCTTCCATCGTAGTTAGCATCTCGAGTGCGCGCGAAAAGAAGAGTCCGCCCGAAGAAAAAACTGCGCCAAGATTTACGGCGAGCAGAAGACAACCTCGAGCTGACTGACGCTTATTCCGACGTACTAGGAGCTACTTACTACCTAAGTTGGGCTGCACTTGCACAATACGCGCAAGAGCAAATCCGAAGGTTCTGTATAGGCGATGTTGAAATCAGCTGTTCAGGGCAGCTGATTTGGGTGAAATGTGAAGCGGCAGTTGCTGGTGGCGCCATGGAGGGTATGGGTGTATCATCTCATCAGCAGTGCGTCAGCTGAGGCAGTTACTGACGGCGAATGGCGCTGGCTGCTGTGAATTTGAAACAGAATCGACGCTTGAAGTGCTGGTATTTTCCAGATCAAATTGCCCTGACTCAGATTCCTACTCGGTCAAAATATGTCAAAACACCGTTTCAAAACTAGCTAATGCTGGCATGTTATGCTTGAATAATTACATGATGGAGCATATATATGGACATGCGCTCGTGTTTAAGAACCTTTACAGTGCCCGGACATTATGCCCAGAAAGGCTGTGTGGATGTTGAGTGCTGAGGAGGAAATTGGCGACATGGTCTGCCTTGGAACCGCACAGCCGTGATCACCACACCCAAGAAGACTGACGGACGGTCAGATGTCTCCGTGATTTCCCAGTGTGGGCAGGTCAGTTGGTGTGCGACGGAACCAACGACTGATCCACGGTTCGCGCGACGACTGCTGTCACTTTCTGGAGATCGATCCATGTCTGCTTGCGACCATTTGGTGGGGCGAGGTTCTAATAACGCGGGGCACATGTCTCCACACTCGGTACAGCGGAGCTGCTTGTTTTGCTGCTACATGCACACTAGGCCAGCGGGAGCGAAGGGGAGAGTGCTTGGGTGGGGTCCATGTCATCAGGGCGAACTCGCTACTGGAGCACCATTGTATCGAATGTGTGTGCACGAGTGCGCCAAAATAAATCGTTTTCGAGCAACAGAACCGCGTTCCTGTACAGTGTGGAGTAAGTCGATAGAGTTTTAACTGTCATACGGTGGGGTAAGATGCCTTTTGTTTTCAGAGCGGCTTATTTACATTGTAGAACGTTTGGATAGGATTTCGAACACTAATGGCATGCCTGTTAGTTAGGTAGGGTTGTCATAAAGGCATGTAAGGACCATAAAGAAGTTTTCTTTATGCGGTTGAGTTCGGTTTCTTAGCGTCTGTTGCGATGCGACCAAAGCTGTGATTAGCTAGCCAGTCTTTTTCACCCACCAGACATTCATGGCCTTCTTTGCTCCCCCCGGCCTAAGTACGTCCTCCCGTCCCGAAGCCTGTTCCACCTAGCACTTTAGATCCTCCTGAATCCTGATGCCCAAGCCCAAACGATCTTTACTGCTTGTTTCTCGTTGACCATAGCTGGATGCATGCATTCCCGTTTGCGACATTGCACTCCTGTGCTCTCATCAAACGGGATGGGGGGCATACCTGCCGTCTAGTGTATGTCGCATTGGGTTGGCATGTGCGTTATTCCCCTTCATTCCTGCTCCTCTAGTTTGAACTAGCCTCCTTAGTAGAGCAGAGCCAATTTCATTCCTTCCCATATAATCTCCAGCTTTGGTGCCTCCAACGTTCCGAAGGGGACTTATGCCGCAAATGCGTGTCGCGCCTTCCCAAAAGCTGTGACCCATACGCAGTGGCACGCGTTTCTGGAAGCGGGCTCATGGGGCTAATAAAGGCCTTTAGGGACCTATTGTCCACTTTCCACTCGCAGCGTCAAAGCTTTTAAGGCTCATCCTGTATACACAGCAGTTGAGGGTTAGTTCGTCCTGTACACACAGCAGTTTAGGGCTAGTTCATACTCTATACACAGCAGTTTAGGGCTAATTCATACTCAATACCCAGCAGTTATGGAATAGTTCATCTACGTCTATTATCCTTCTCGGTTAAGTTGCGCTGATTGCTGTTTCAGTCCACGGGTCGAACGAGCTAGGTTTACTATCGTCATTCTCATCGTGCACAGCGATTTATTTCTATCGTCCCTCGCATCCAACGGTGGTAGTGCGCTGCGATCCACCAACGGTCACGATGATGGACCCGGTACTCGTGCTCATCATCGCGAGCTGCATGACGCTAACGCAGTTCGCGCTACAGCTCAAGGAGAATATCACCACCAGCGCTTACCTAAAAAACTTCGATCTCATGCTGGAATCAACGGCAACCCTGCACGCGTTGCTGACGGAGTGTAAGAGCTTCAAGGGATGGGGTGTAGCCACCGACGGCGCGAAGAAATCGTTTCAGAGGCTTGAAGATCTGTTACGGAAAGCCACGGCATTGCTACAACGGTGCATCAGCGCGCGGAGTAAATTGCTGCAGGTGCGAATCGTACTGAAGGATCTAAATTCGCCTACTTTCTTTTCCGCATCTCAGGTGCATAGTCACGGCAATTTCTATTCGACATTAAAATAAGTTAGCCTTTTCCGTAAGGGTCCGACGCTGCGAAGCCTTTGGCATTCCATTAGGGACTCTGTGACACAGAACTTCCCGTATTCCTAATCCAAATTGTTGAAATCGCTGCAATCGATTTAAATCTACCTACTTCTTTAATCTCTTGATTTTACTCATTTTACTCGTTTCACAAAATGCAGCTGGTATCGGAGCACGCACTACAGGCGCAGGACTTCATTACGATGCACGCGGAGATGGAGCAGTGCCTCTCCACCGTCCCCATCCAAACCCTCCCTGAACCCCTCACCTCCAAGGTCAGTCGCCTTAGTCGCTCACGCGTCAACCCCCTCGCGTTGCAGGTAAGCGTCAATGCGGCTTAGACTGGGCGCGTTAAAGGTAAGTATTGATCATTTGACGTCTGGGATATGGCATCAAACGAAACCCTGGACTGCCAGGAAGTGTGTAGCTAGCAATGCATTGCATTGTGCACGAGCGATAAGAGATGAACGCTTCAAGGGCACGAGTTAGCCTTTATGGGCCTGCAGAGATGAACGGTATCTCAGCTTTCCGGATGCCAGATGATGCTATCATAAACTATTTAACGTGATTGTTCTGTCGTGTATCTTCTTTCAATCAAGCGTCAGATTAGTTAATCATTTTCACTTTCATAAAAGGGCAGAGAACGCTTCTAGTCTGTCTTTCTCTCGTTTAATCTAACAAGCTTTCAGAACATGAACATTTTCCATGCGCTAGTTCTGGATCCCTTTTCTTTTTTCCAGTTTCCTCCTTCCCAACAACCCCTTGTGCGACAAATTGCCCACCCCCCCAAGTCTCCACTGCCCTCCCTCCGCGCTTACCCTTTTCTCCCCTCTCCCCTCCTCTCCCCCCCCACCCACCCCATCCCTCTCACTCTCTCTCTCTCTCACTCTCGCGTTCCTTCTCCGTCTGGTTCTGCTTTTTTTGCTCTTCCCCTCCCTTCCTCATCTTGCTCCCACATTCCCTCCCTGTTCCCCTCACCCCCCACTCCTCCCCCCCCCCCCCCCCCCCAACCCCCCGCACCCCCGCCCTCCCCTCACTCTCCTATTTCCATGATTAATCGCGCAGCCGAGTGCCCGTTTTCGAATCAGTCACGTCCGTCTCGCACCTGCACGTCCCCCCCCTCCCCTTTCCTCCCCTGCGTTCTCTTCCTCTTTCCCCCCCCACACCCTCCCCTTCCCCCTCTCACCAAAATCCCCCCCTCATCCCCCCCTCTCCTCACCACCCTTCCCCCACTTCCCCCCTCCTCGTCCCCCCCAGCTCACGGCGATGCGGCAGCAGCTGCTGAACACGCCCTTCACGGAGTGCATCACGCCCGCCATGCGCGCGCAGCTGCAGCTGCTGCTCTCCTCCGCCGCCTCCCCCTCCCCCGCGCTCAAGGACGCGCCCGGCTCCGACGTGCTCGCGTTCCAGCTCGCGGAGGCGCTCGGCCTGGGGCTCTCCGCGGAGGCCGCCAACCCGGGCGCGCTGCGCCGCGAGCAGGAGGCGCTGGCGCTGGAGAAGCGCAAGGCGCAGGAGGGGCGCGACCTGGCGCAGGCGAAGGTTGTGGAGCAGGTGAGAGGGAGGGGGGGAGGGGAGCAGAGGGTTTAGCGCGGATTGAAACACGTTACGCGCAGGAGGGGCGGGATTTGGCGCAGGCTAAGGTGGTGGAGCAGGTGAGACTGGGGAAGGCAGAGAGGAGGGGAGGGAGGGAGATGGGGGCGAGAGGGGAGGTATGTAGGATCGGTTTGAAACAAGTTAGGGGCGCAGGAAGGGCGGGACCTGGCGCAGGCTAAGGTTGTAGAGCAGGTGAGATGGCAGAGAAGGGGGGAGGGAGGGGGATGGGGGCGAGAGGGGAGGTATGTGAGATCGGTTTGAAACAAGTTAGGCGCGCAGGAGGGGCGGGATATCGCACAGGCTAAGGTGGAGGTGAGAGTGAGGGCGGTGGAACTGCGGACTGGGCAGAGAAGGGGAAGGGGGTGGGAGGAGAGAGGGGAGAAATATGGGATCGGTTTGAAACGGGCGCAGGAGGCGCAGACTTGTGAGACTGGGAGAGAGGAGGTTCCGGGAAAAGGGCAGAGCGGGGGAGGTGGGTGAAGGGGGGAGGTGAAAGGTGAATGTGATGAGTCTGAATTACGTTAGGCGCAGCAGGGGAGCGGTGTTTCGCGTATTACGTTAGGCGCAGCAGGGGAGCGGTGTTTGACAGTATAGAGTTCAGCGGGGAGAGAAAGGAGAGGCGGCGAGAGCTGGGGTGCACAGGGGATGAAGTGGAGGTAGGGGAAGGGGAGGAGGGGGACTGTGGCATGGGATAGGGCAGACGCCTCAGAAGACACAAGGAGCGGAAGGGGGAGTAGGGGGAGGGGATGGGGGGGTGGGGGGGGGGTTGGTGGGTGGTCACACACAAGCCATGTACAAGCCACGCACAAGCCAGCCACGCACAAGCCACGCACAAGCCACGCACAAGCCACGCACAAGCCACGCACAAGCTATGCACAAGCCATGCACAAGCCATGCACAAGCCATGCACATGCCATGCATAAGCCATGCACAAGCCACGCACAAGCCATGCATAAGCCATGCACAAGCCATGCACAAGCCATGCATAAGCCATGCACAAGCCATGCACAAGCCATGCACAAGCCATGCACAAGCCATGCACAAGCCATGCATAAGCCACGCACAAGCCATGCACAAGCCATGCACAAGCCATGCACAAGCCATGCATAAGCCATGTACAAGCCATGCACAAGCCATGCGAAAACCATGCATCATGTACTAGCACCCGCTTTCCCTTGTTCCCCCATCGCACCTGCCTCCCCATGCACGCCCCCAGATAGTGCTGGTGCTGATACGCATGGAGGCGGAAGTGGCACCCCATGCACGCCCACACTCCCCTCACATCCCTCTCTTGTCCTTCCCTCCCCATGCACGCCCACACATAGTGCTCGTGCTGATGCGCATGGAGCGAGAAGTGGCACCCCATGCACGCCCACATATCCCTCTCTTGTCCTTCCCTCCCCATGCATGCACCACCACACCAGATAGTGCTGGTGCTGATGCGCATGGAGCGAGAAGTGGCTGCCCGCGCATCCCCGAACCCCGCTCATATACCCTCTCTCGTACCCTCCCTCCCCTCCCTATTCACCCTGCCAGATAGTGCTGGTGCTGATGCGCATGGAGCGAGAAGTGGCAGCGCGCAGAGAGAAGCAGAAGCGCGCCGCTGAAGCCGCAGCAGGTGCAGGCAGCACTGCCACTGCTGCTTCAACCGCACCCGCCCCTTCCTCCATCTTCGCGCCTCAGCCCAACCGGTCGCACGCAGCAGCAGGAGCAGCAGCGCCGGGGATCAACCTGCTGGCAGAGAGCTTGACGGAGCTCAGCTTCGGAGGGAGTGACAGACACGCAGACGCAGCAGTGGCAGCAGGGGCAACAACAACAGCCACCTCCCAGCAACAGCCACTGGGGGTAGGGACAGGGGCAGCCGCAGGGGCAGGGACAGGGGTAGGGGTAGGAGCTGGGACGGATGGCATGGGAGTGAGACATCCGGAGGGTCAGGACGCAGCAAAAAAGGTGGTTGAGCCGATCAAGGTGGTGATGCCAGGTGATAACTCCGCTGCTGCTGCTGCCGCCGGTGCTGCTGGTACTCGTCGTGACAAGAGCCCACAGCCAGCGACAGCAGGAGCAGAAGGGGCAGGGGTAGCAGGGGCAGCAGCAGCAGCAGCAGCAGCAGCACGAGCACGGTCACCCACGCCTGCAGCAGTAGGTGGCAGCACCACTGCGAGCTCAACAGCTACTAGATCCACTATCGCCGCTCCATCCGCGTCAACAGCAGCACCGGCACCAGCAGCAGCAGCAGCAGCACCGGCACCGGTAGCATCAAGGCCAGCAGCAGCAGCAGCAGCAGCAGCGCCAGCGCCAGCGGGTCAAGCCACACAGGCAACGGGCGAGCAGGGAGTCGCACAGCAGATCATCCGCACGCTCCGTCTCGGCACCGTGGACGAAAAAGCCCAGGCAGCAGGGCTTGTAGGCTGGCACACCAAGTTCTCCGCCACCAACCGAGCCATGTTCCGCTCCGCTGGGGTCATCGACGCACTCCTCCCCCTCGCCGCCGCCTCCTCTCCCCAGGAGGCCAAAGCAGCCGATGCGGCGGTCCGAGCCCTGGTGAATCTGCTGGCGGATGAGGATGTGAAGGTGGAGCTGATTGGGCACCTGCCGCTGCTGGTTCAGGCGCTGAAGCGCGCGCAGCTGCCTGCGACTCGCGCCGGCATGGCCCGGATTTTTAAAGCGATTGCCACGATATCGGATGAAGCGTGTAAGGTGGTGGTGGATGCGGGCGCCGTCCCTCACTTAGCTAAGTTTGTCGATCCGAGCGCCGCTGCCGCGCCGGCCAACCCGGCCCCGACGGGCGGCGCGGCGGTGGCTGCGGCTGCTGCCGCAGAGGAAGCGTCCAAGCAATGCGCGGCGGAAACCCTAGCGATCCTCGCGCAGGTGCCCTCGAAGCGGAGCCGAATGGTGGCAGACGGGGCCGTTGGCCCTCTCTCCCTCCTCGTGCTCTCCACCCCGCCGAACGAAACCCTAATTGCGGCGGTGACGGCGCTTGCAGGGCTGGCGGGCGTGCATGAGGGGAGGGAGGGCATGGCGGCAGTGCTGCCGACGCTGGTGAACCTGTTGAGGGTGGAGGATGAGGGTGTGATGGCGCCGACTCTTGACGCGCTGCTGCTGCTGGCCAAGCACAGCGCGGGGTACCGCAGTGGCATCCGGAATAACGGGGGGATGCGGCACCTCAGGAACGTGCTTCGCGTGGGACCCTCCCCGCTCCACAACAAGGTAAGATTCTTGAGTTTTAAGACGTATCAAGACGGAAATAACGAGCCTTGGGACATGTGAGAAAACAGAATCAAGGCGTCAGCATATATTTCAGGAATGTGCTGTGCGCGGGTCCCTTGTCTCTACACAACAAGGTGAGCTTTTCTTTGTTTTGAGCTGTCTCTTGATACCGGGATAAAAGGCTTCAAGACGTTTTGAAAACCGGAATAACGGTGGGATGAGGCGGCTCGGGAATGTACACCCCGTAAGGCCCTCGCCCCCCACAACAAGGTGAGATTCGCTCGCCTTTCCATCGCTTCCAAGTCTTCCCTCCACACACCCCTTCCCTCCACAACAATGTGATTTTCACTCCCATCAGCATTCTTCCTGTAAAAAAACTGACTTCACTTCACACCCCTTCTCCCCATAACTAGGTGTCATCACTCATCTCTCTCCTCCACCCCTTTCACACACCCTGTGTCCCATCACATTTTTAAACATTCTACTCTATACCCCATACGTGCACTCCCACATGCCATGGCAGGGCATGGAGCTGCTAGCAGCACTCTTCTCATAGCACCCGAAGCCGTGGGGGCAGTCTGGCCATGCGAGTGTGAATTCTCCTTTTGAACCCCTCTCCATCCATCCCGTGAATCACTCCCACATGCCATGGCAGGGCATGGAGCTGCTAGCGGCGCTCTTCTCATAGCACCCGAAGCCGTGGGGGGAGTCTGTCCGAATGTCCTTATGTGCAACCGGCCCTCGCTTGGATCACATCCCATCTGTATCCTCTTGAGAGCTCTCAAAGGCTGACAAACTCCAAGGCGTTCAAGTAGAAACTGCTTTCAACTAGGGAAATGTCCGCACAGAAGTGGAGATTATCACGTGTTACAACGTTACAGTGTTTGCCGTACGTATTTGCAGTTAGGGGACCTTAGTACTCAAGTCATTTTATGGTACCCTAGGTAGGTCCATCCGTTTAGTCATTCTAGGTAGGTGGCTTGAGTAGGACTAGTTCCCAAACTGGTTATATAGCTACAGCTCTAGCTTGCTGCTATAAGTGTAGTGCTTGTTACACTGGCCATTGAGTAGATGAATGAATTATACTCTGAAACATGCTTGTTATTGTAGCACAATGGAGGTACAAGCCGCTTAGGGTGACTATACATATTAGTATAACATTAAGTTACATCACCCTACTCACCCAGAGCAATGTTGCCTGGCTTGTGCTTAATGCACCTATCGAGGTCACCTGTAAGGAGAACTCGTCATCAGCCCCCTTTAGCCCTGATTGCGCATACTCTACAAACGCAGTAAGCTCTTTATCAGAGCGGTTAACGGATACCTCTGTAAACCCCGCACAACTGTACACCAGAGGCCTTGTTTCTGTCCATATACATGGTAAAGAGGTGCGCTGTATCCGCTTCGTGTTGCCCCCTCCACTGCTGCTGCCACCACCATTGCCACTGTTACCACCGCTGCTGCTACCACCACCACTGCCGGTCCCAGTCCCAGTCCCAGTCCCAGTCCCATCCCCATTCCCATTGCCATTCCCATTGCCATTACCATTACCATTTCCACTTCCACTACCACTCCCATTGCCACCATTGCCATTCCCATTCCCGTTACCATTGCCATTGCTGTTGCCATTGCCATTGTTGTTGCTGTTTAGAATTGCACTGTTCAGTTGCTTGCCTCCTCCGGACGAGGAGAGCAGCAGAGCAGCAGACTGGGGGCTGTTATCCGGTGCAACGAGGATGACTGTATAGGAGATGCGGTAGAAGCTGGTCGTGCTGCCGTGGGGGAAGGGGGGAGGGAGGGACAGAGAGGGAATGAAAGGAAATTGGTATTGACATCTCAAGAATGGTCGTTATCTGGTGGCACGAGGATGACTGTATAGGAGATGCGGAAAAAGCCGGCGTTGCTGGAGCGAGGGAGGGAGAGAGGGAGAGAGAGGCGCGAGAACTGTGAGCGAGTTGTTGACGCGTTCTTTTATAAAAGAACGGCTGCCAGGCAAGGGGTCAGTGAGGTTGATGGCAGAGCATGCGTGCTATACTTGGAACGGGGAGGGGGAGCAAGAGACGTACAATTGATCGACCCTGGAGTGAGCGCCACAAGGCAAGGGGTCAGTGAGGCTGATGGCAGAGCATGCGTGCTATACTCGGAACGACTTTTGAGGCGCCTGAAAAGGCTGATGGCAGAGCATGCGTGCTATACTTGGAATGGGGAGGGAGAGCAAGAGACGTACAGTGCAACAACCCTGATGTGAGCGCTGTGTCGACTCAAGAGACGCGAGAACTGTGAACGAGTTGACTTTTGAGTAGACTCAAGAGACGTACCGTGCAACATCCCCGATGTGAGCCCCGCCCGGCATGCGCCCGTGATGTTGATGGTAGAGCAAGCGTATTACACTCAGAAAGGGAGGAAAGAGGAGGAGAGCGAGAGGGGGAAGGAGAGACGTACAGCTGATCAACCCTGGTGTGAGCCCCTCCCGGCATGGGGTCAGTGAGGTTAATGGTAGAGCATGCATATCACACTCAGAAAGGGAGGAACGACGAGGGGAGGGAGAGGGAGGGCGAGAGGGGGAGGAGCAGAGGGAGAGACGTACAGCTTATCAACCCTGATGTGAGCCCCTCCCGGCATGGGGTCTGTGAGGTTGATGGCGAATTGCGGGGATGTGAGTGCTGGCAACGGGGCAGATGCTCGGTCTGCAGCATGGGAGGGAAGATGGGGGCAGGGGAGGGAGCAAAGGAGAGTAGAGGAGAGCAGAGGAGGCAGCAGGAGGAAGCGGGTCAGTGAGGTTGATGGTGAATTGCGGGGATGTCACTGCCGGCAGCGGGGCTGATGCACGGTCTGCAGTGTGAGAGGGCAGAGGAGGGCAGAGGAGGGCAGAGGAGGGCAGAGGAGGGCAGAGGAGGGCAGAGGAGGGCAGAGGAGGGCAGAGGAGGGCAGAGGAGGGCAGAGGAGGGCAGAGGAGGGCAGAGGAGGGCAGAGGAGGGCAGAGGAGGGCAGAGGAGGGCAGAGGAGGGCAGAGGAGGGCAGAGGAGGGCAGAGGAGGGCAGAGGAGGGCAGAGTAGGGCAGAGGAGGGCAGAGGAGGGCAGAGGAGGGCAGAGGAGGGCAGAGGAGGGCAGAGGAGGGCAGAGGAGGGCAGAGGAGGGCAGAGGAGGGCAGAGGAGGGCAGAGGAGGGCAGAGGAGGGCAGAGGAGGGCAGAGGAGGGCAGAGGAGGGCAGAGGAGGGCAGAGGAGGGCAGAGGAGGGCAGAGGAGGGCAGAGGAGGGCAGAGGAGGGCAGAGGAGGGCAGAGGAGGGCAGAGGAGGGCAGAGGAGGGCAGAGGAGGCAGAGGAGGGCAGAGGAGGCAGAGGAGGCAGAGGAGGGCAGAGGAGGGCAGAGGAGGGCAGAGGAGGGCAGAGGAGGGCAGAGGAGGGCAGAGGAGGGCAGAGGAGGGCAGAGGAGGGCAGAGGAGGGCAGAGGAGGGCAGAGGAGGGCAGAGGAGGGCAGAGGAGGGCAGAGGAGGGCAGAGGAGGGCAGAGGAGGGCAGAGGAGGGCAGAGGAGGACAGAGGAGGGCAGAGGAGGGCAGAGGAGGGCAAGGAAGGGAGAGGAGGGCAAGGAAGGGAGCATAGGAGAGCAGATGAGTGCAGAGGAAGCGGCAGGAGGAAGCGGGCACGGGGCCAGTGAGGTTGATGGTGAATTGGGGGAATGTCAGTGCTGGCAGCGTGGCAGATGCTCGGTCTGGCACATGGGAGGGCAGATTGGGGCAGAGGAAGGCGGAGGAGGGCGGAGGAGGGAGCAGAGGAGAAAATTCACAAGAGTGCAGGAGACGAGATCACAGAGAGGGCAGGACGGAAGAGGAAGGCGCGGGAGAGAGAAGGAAGGAGAGCAGACGAGAGAAGAGCAGGGAAGAGATGAGAAGAGAAGAGCCTAGGAGAGAAGAGATGAGGAGAGATGAGCAGGGCGTACCAAAGGCAGTGATCGTGCTCCCTGCAAACTCCCCAACAGCCAATCCCTGCGCGCCACCTGGACTGCCCGGTATCTCGTCATACTCCATCGAGATCAACGGCCAGGATTGCGCTGCACGCCCGCCTGACCCAGTCTCCCCCGTACCACTCGGCCCTCCCCCCACATAGCCTCCATTCTCCCCTGCAGTGCGGAGGGACGCGAGTGCTGCTGCTAGAGATGCAGGGCTGGGGTTGATAGGAGGGGAGGAGGGAGCACGGGAGGAGGGAGGAGGGGTGGAGGGAGGAGGGGTGGAGGGAGGAGGGGTGGAGGGAGGTGGGGAGGAGGGAGGTGGGGAGGAGGGAGGCAGGGGAGGGGAGGAGGACGGGGGAGCGGAAACAGGAGGAGGAGAGGAGGAAGGGCCATTGCCGTTGCCACTGCCATTGCCACTAACACTCCCATTACCATTCCCATTCCCATTACCATTCCCATTCCCGTTGCCATTCCCATTCCCACTTCCATTCCCATTGCCGTTGCCATTCCCGTTGCTAGTAACACTGCCATTGCCAGTCGGGGGTTCAGGAGGAGTAGAAGCAAGAGGGTCAGGCGGGGAGGAGACTGGAGGTTCGATGGGAGGGGAGGAGGATGGAGGAGAGGGAGGAGGAGGTGAGAGGGAGGAGGGAGCACTAGAGGGTGGGCTCTTGTTGCCATTCCCATTCCCATTTCCATTCCCGGTGCTAGTAACACTGTTGCCGTTGCCGTTGCCATTGCCATTGCCATTGCCATTGGTAGTGGCATTGCTATTCTCAGCAGGGGGGTTAGGAGGAGTAGAAGTAGGAGGGTCAGGCGGGGAGGAGACTGGAGGTTCGATGGGAGGGGAGGAGGATGGAGGAGAGGGAGGAGGAGGTGAGAGGGAGGAGGGAGCACTAGAGGGTGGGCTCTTGTTGCCATTCCCATTCCCATTTCCATTCCCGGTGCTATTAACACTGTTGCCGTTGCCGTTGCCATTGCCATTGCCATTGGTAGTGGCATTGCTATTCTCAGCAGGGGGGTTAGGAGGAGTAGCAGCAGGAAGGTCAGGAGGCGAGGAAACCGGAGGTTCGAGGGGAGGGGAGGAGGATGGAGGAGAGGGAGGAGGACTCTTGTTCGCATTTCCATTCCCATTTCCGTTCCCATTGCCGTTGCCATTCCCATTCCCATTGATAGTAGCATTACCATTCCCGGAGGGGGAGTCAGGAGGAGGAGGAGTAGGGAGGTCAGGAGGAGGAGAAGCAGGGGGGTCAAGGGGGGAGGAGACTGGGGGTTCGAAGGGAGGGGGGAGGGACGGAGGAGAGGGAGGTGGAGAGGAAGGAGAGGAAGGAGAGGAAGGAGAGGAAGGAGAGGAGGGAGGATTAGAGGGAGGGCTCTTGTTTCCGTTTCCATTCCCATTCACATTGCCACTGCCATTGCCATTGCCATTGCCACTGCCGTTACTGCTACCATTGCCGCTCCCAGCAGGGACGTCAGGAGGAGGAGAAGCAGGGAGGTTAGGAGGAGGGGAAGCAGGGAGGTTAGGAGGTGAGGAGACTGGGGGGGGCAGGGGCGGAGAGACGGGGGGTTCGAGGAAAGGGGAGGGAGATGGAGGAGAGGGAGGAGGAGGAGAGGGAGGGGGAGGAGAAGGGGGAGGAGGAGAGGGAGGAGGAGGAAAAGGAGGAGGAGGAGAGGGAGGAGGAGGAGAGGGAGGAGGAGGGGAAGCAGAGGAGGGAGGTGGGCTCTTGTTGCCATTTCCGTTTCCGTTGCCGTTGTTGCTGCTGCTGCCGCTGCTACCAGTGGTGGTGGTGGAGGGAGGAGGAGGGGAGGAGGGGGAGGGAGGCGGAGGGGAGGAGGAAGGAGGCGGGGGTTCCTTGTCCTTAGCTGGAAACACGAGCAGCAATCTTTGAGGCGCTTCAAGCAACGACCCATCAGCAAGAGGTGCACTGCAGGCACCAGCAGCACACGCAGAAGCACCAGCAACACCAGCAACACCAGCAGCACCACCAGCAGCACCGAAATCAGCAGTTGCAGCCGTCAGAGCGGCAGCAGGGAAGGCGGTCGAGAGAGAGGCAGTGGCAGCAGCAGCAGCAGCAGCAGCAGCAGCAGCAGCAGAGGTGGTGGTGGAAGCAGAGGGGGGGAGGATGAAGTGCCCTACGGCTTCCCAGAGAGTGGGGATGGCGGCAGCAGGTTTTCTCCAGGTGATGGCGTCTGGCAGCAGGGGGAACGGACACGTGCCCTGCGCGCATGGGGGGGCTGCACCGCCCCCCGTGGTGGCGCTGCTGTTGGTGGGCGCGAGGAGGGAGAGCTGCGAGGGCGGCGTGTCTTTGGGCGTGGTGACTGTCAACTTGTACGCCACACACGCGCTGCTGCCACAGGTGCTGTAGATGGGAGAGGGGAGGAAGGAGGGATGGGGGGATGGGGGTAAAAGGGGAGAGTGCGAGTGTGAGAAGGGTTCTCAGCTTTTACGCCACACATGCCCACTGCCACACGTGCTGCACATGGGGGATGAAGGAAGGGGGAAGGGGGAGAAAAGGGGAGGAGGGAGCGGGAGGAACACGAGTGTGATGGCGTACGGTGATCCGTTTGCATACATACATACGTGCTTGGGTTGTAAGAGCGCGTATGTATGTATGCAAACGGAACGGCACGACCCCAGATCTTTTTTGTAAGTCGTTTGTATGAGTCGACCCAACACACGCCTCTCCACCGCCACACACCTCTCGGCACGGTCGAATTTAACTATTTGTAACTCGTTTTTCAGCATTCTCAAAATGAGTTGACGAGATCAACTTTGTAACGAGTTCACTCCAAAAGACGCGCAACACTCAACAGGGACAAAACACAGTTTCGCACGGCGGGTGAAGCGCGGGGAATGACGCGCGGCGGGTGAAGCGCAAGGGGCGGCGCGGGGCGGCGGCGGGTGGCGGATGTGGCGGAGGTGGCGGAGGTGGAGGGTGGAGAAGCGAGGCGCAACTCACCCCAGCGCCAGGCTGATGCTGCCGCGGCCGTTGCCCCCGCACACCAGGGCCACGCGGAACGCTGCAGGCGGTGACATGCATGGGTTTGGGGGAAAGGGGAAAGAAGTGGAGGGGAAAGAAAGGGGAAGGGGAAGGCGAAGGGGGGGAAGATGGGGGGAAGGGGTGGGGGGGGGGGGGAAGGGGGAGGAGATGGTAGGTGAGGGAAAAGGCAAGTCGGGGAGGCTATTTGGGAGTGGACGCAAAACAGAAGAAAAAGGAAGCAAAAAGAACCCAGAAATATATAGCGGAAATGCCAGAACCGTCGTTCTTTTTAAACGACGCTGCGACGCCAACCTAACGAATTTTGGCATCAAAGTCGTCTTACCGTCAAAGTCGCCAGTTGCGGCCGGCAAGTGCAGGAGCAACAACGCCGCTGGTGGGACAGATGGACGGGACGGGGAAGAGAGGGGCGCGGAGGGCGGAAAAGGAAAAGGGATCAGCGGAATGGGAAATGGGGAACGGCGAAACGTAGAGCAACACAGTGTGTGTGATTAGTAACGGCCGGTAGGCGCAACGGCCGGTAGGCGACCAGCAGCCGATAGGCGCAGGCGGAACTTCCGCCTTGAAGGCCCCGCTTCTTCTACTCAGCGAGGCGGAGGGCCGCGGAAAGATTGCGCGCTACATGAGCGCGTTCCGGCAGCAGCCGAGGGTCAGATTGTGTAGATTGGGGGAAGGGGGCGTCAGGGTGTCGTGGGGGGAGGAATCGGCAGGTGGGAGAGCGTCGTGCTCGGCGGAATCGACGGTTGACGATGATGAAGCGCGCGATCCGACTGTTGAGAATGAAAAAAACCGCGTTGGTGCTAAACGAGGAAAGACGACGAGCGACGACAAAAGCAACGAGACGCGCGGCGACGACGCGACAACGACGCGAACGAAGCGACGATATAGCGACGCGCCACCGCAACGGGTGAAGCGCCGGCTCGTCGCTCGGCCATCGCATCTCGGCATATCGCAGCGCATCGCAGAGGGCGACGTCTGCGGCGTGCGTGGCTCCGCCTCCAGGACGGTGGGCTCGCGAACGGTCAAACGACCTTTGAGGCGCCTCAGAGATGGTGCTTCGCGAACGGCGAATGCGAAACACACGAGACTGCTTTCCACGAGGTAGGTTTAGCGACAGCGCGACAAACCCCTGGTAGACATTATCTGGCAGATAGTAAGGGACGTAATGGCCACAACGGTGAACATAACGGTCACCGCCGATCGACGATGCGTCCGCCGCTGACGGCTCCGACGGCTGTGCTGGCTGTACCAGCTCTGACGGCTATGACGGCCCTGACGGATCTGAAGGCTATGACGGCCCTGACGGCCCTGACGGATCTGAAGGCTATGACGGCCCTGACGGCCCTGACGGATCTGAAGGCTATGACGGCCCTGACGGATCTGAAGGATATGACGGCCCTGACGGATCGGACGGCTATGACGGCCCTGACGGATCTGACGGCTATGACGGACCTGTCCTTGACTAACTATAATCTGAAAGATGTTGGACATATAGGTCGACGCAGTGTTGGGTCGACTCAAAAGTCATAGAGAATACGCGTCCATCGCCGCTAGTGTTAGACGATTTGTGTCACATCAGACTAGGGTCTAGACAGCAGACCCTCGCCGCCGCCGGAACGCCGATTAAACTGGTGGTAGTAGGGGTAGTACCTAGAATGTGGCTCCACGCGGGTCGAGCAGCCGCGTCGCCGTTAATTTGACGATCAAGATCGCGTCGCACGCGCCTCGTTACAGCCGCATCTCGCCGCGTCACAGTGATGACGGTGGGCCGACACCCCCGTGTTGGCCTCTCGCGGCAAGATTTCCGATCCCCGCCGCACTTTCCGCCGCCGCGGATCTTAGTTGCGAGCCGCCGCATATCGCGGTGTTCAGGAAGAAACGGAGAGGTAAACTGCGCCACGTGTGACAGCGCTGGAAACAGTCGGACTCCGGCCGAGGGATTCACAGTTTCTGAGGCGCCTCAAAATCCCCGCGGTGTGCCACGTGTGGGCTTGAAATTGTCAACCTGAGGGCGAGGGAATCTAGGAGACTGCCACCGCGCGTCAGGCTCGTAATATATGGGATCGATTTTGGAGATTATGAGGAGTCGCGACTAGCATTCAAGAGGGTCCTACTCCCCACACGTCCTACCACTAATCTCCTTACTACGGGTAGAAGACTCCTCTCACGCTCGCGCTCTGAAGCAGCAGCGGTACGGTGCTACTAAGGTCGCACAGGTAAGCACCGTGAAAGGTAAGGAAATAACTGGGAACAAGAATTGCAGTGCAAATGAAAGCGTCGCGTGAGCGACAGTGGTGCTAGAACTGTACAGTGCTTTTGTGTGTTGTACGGACGGGTAGAAGGGCTTCGTTTGGAATTGACAGACTCCTGCCAGGAGTCTCAACTCTCTTGGTCGCCATGGAGTGAGAAAGATGACACAGAACGGAGTGATGAGGGCTCATGGGGAAGGGGTTGGTGTCGGTGGGTGGACTGGCAGCGGGCAGGGCCATGCGCTGAACCGCGCTTCTATGATGGATTGGACGGAACAGATGTGTCCAAGGTGAGGAGGAAGGCGGAGAGGAGAGTGGGGGTGGAGGAGTGGCGGAAGAGGGAAGTTTTTCCGTCTCATTGAAGTGACCTGCGAGAAATTGATGATGATGTCAGGGATGTGCTGTGTGCATCAATCTCAATTCTCGATGCCTGCGGCTTGACTAGAAGTTGTTGGAAGTTGTACGCGAGACCGCTCCGTGTTTTTGGGTGTGCCGTGTCGTACCGTGGCGTTCCGTGGCTGTCCTTTGTGGCGTCGGATTCTGCCTGTGCGGTGGTGTGGTAGGCAGTCGTTACTGCTGGCTATCCAACTAGGGAAATGCTGGCAGGGAACGTTTTGTAGGGGCTTGTGACTTGTGATTCAAAGAGACAACGTTGAAGCAGAGTGGTGGTGGGGGGGAAGGAGAGGAGAGGAGCAGAAAAACGCGCGGAAGGTTTACACTGAAACTGTATATCCGCCCGGCTTCCCACCTAAGTTCTTATGGAGAATATTCTTGACACATGATAAGATCCTTGTTGATCATTGAATAACACTTTGCTCAGTATGGGTAGGGAAATGCACCCACTGTGAGAAATACTGCAGTTCGAGGCCACTGTGTGATGTGTGGTTGTACACCCAAACAAAGAACGGCTACCGCCAAAAGCCACAGTCCCTTGTGGGTGCCTGCCCTTGAAATTATTTTCGAATCCCAAAACGTCGGTGGTGGCATGCGGGAACTGTAGTCGTTGACAACGAAGCCTGACGACGATTCTCGAAGAACCGTCAATTCTGTCGCCTTGACCTGAGGGGGCTGACTGACTGACGCCAACGGCTACGAAACGATCAAGCCAGCGAATGGGAAGCAGACGCTGATGACGGTCGTCAACTTCCTGTGGAGGAGGTCCGATAAGTTATCAAACTGCATATGGCCTAGGGATTGGCATTCATCCGTACAGAAATATCATCCATACTCGTTACAGGGCGGGACATCATCGAGGACCATTGTAAGTACGTACACGAGGATTACATGGACACCCATAAGAACGCCAATAAGAAGCAGCACATTTTTATGAATGCCATACAAGTATGTTCTTTGAAATTCAGATGGTTTCCACAACCTGGGTGGCCTTCTGGACTCTGTTAACAGCAGAATCCCCTAATTCTCCAAGTTCTATTAGCCTTCTGTTGTGCTGTTTTCTTTCTTGATTTTTGGGTTGTGGATGTGCTAGATTGTGTTACGAGTGCAATTGAGTGAGCGAGCGAGAATTGCACTATCGAAGCAAAACAATACAGTTGAGCAAAAAGCATGAGCGAAGTTATATAGCGAGGCTAGCGTGGTAACGGTAATGCGGGAAATTGGGGTGCGCTACGGGCCTAGCGCCGAGGTTTGGGAATTGTCAGTGCGTCGGCAATGTTCGATGCTCCCTTTTTATAGGTGACCGTGTAGTTGAAATTTGACTCGAGGAAATCGAGCCAGCGGGTCTGTCGTGGGTTGAGGTGGGGCTGCGCGCGGAGGTACTGTAGTGATCTGTGGTCTGTCCGTACTGTCACGTCTGCGCTGGTCAAGTAACAGCGCCAGACCTTGAATGCATGTACGATGGCGAGCATTTCGCGATCGTGTATCGGGTAATTCTTCTCGGGCGGATGCAGTTTTCGTGACTCGTATGCGATGGGCTGTAAACCGTTGCCGAAATCCTGTAGCATTACGGCTCCAATGGCGATATCGCTTGCGTCTGTAACTACTTCGAATGGGCGGTGTGGGTCGGCGATGCGCAGTACGGGCGGTGAACAGAGAACAATTTTCAGGGCAGAGAAGGCAGCATGTGTTAGAATACTAGGAAGGAATGTGTGATTAGGTCAAGGGGGGGGTACAAGAAGAATGTCGAGAGAAAAGTTGTACCCCCTAGTGCTAACCCCCATACAGCCTAGATAACCTAAACATGCATATATGATTTGACACACCCCCATAGGCGAAATGGGGGATAGCCAGAGCAAGCAAAGGTCACAAGACCAGTCAAGAGAAGAAACAAAACACAGCTCAGGGTGGATCACAAAGTCACCACACACTCTGAGCACAAGCAAGAGGCCACAAGGCCAGTTCACATGCAGAGATGTATATGCAGCAATAGCACAGTGATCACTACCTAACAAGAGCAAGCATGCAGGTATATATGTATAGATCACAGTACAAGCAGAATCTACAGCAAGTGTGGAAACGTAGGCACAAGGCCCAACAAAGTACAAAAGCGCTGATGATCACCAGACGGAAGTGCCTTGGTGAATATATCAACAGTGTTGGCCCGAGTGGCCACGTGAGCAAGACGAAGCTGACCCCGCTGCTGCAACTCTCGAGCCAGGAAGTAACGCAGAGCGATGTGCTTCGTTCTGTGCTCCAGTCTGTGCTCCTGACACAAGGCAATGATTGCCTTGTTGTCGACGTACAGCACTGGAGGAGAACGAGGCCGCTCTCCCAGGTCGGTCAGCAGGTAGGTGAGCCAGCGTAACTCCTGTGCAGCCATGGCTGTGGCGTAG